ATATAACTCGAACTGAATCATTAAAATTTTTTTATAGTACATTAGTATCATATCATATATAAGGATGTGTTAATTATTACGTGATTCAATTTACTACGAAGTTTGTTTGTCTCCATCAATTATAATATGACAAAACTATAAGCAAAAAATCAGCTTAAGAATAGAAAGACGCCTTCTAAAAACACTACCATAGTACCATTAATAAACTATGCACTGATTTGTTTCCACTACAACATATAAATCTAAAACTAACATGATGAAAGAATGATAATTTTTTAAACATTTTAAAGTTACGCTCATGTAATATATGTGACTATTAATTTACAATAATGAAATCTTGCATGCATATCCTATAACAATATTGCTAAGGTATATATAATCTTCTGAAATTAAAGTTTGAGAGAGTGTATTGCTAAGGTATATAACAATTTGGTTTGTTTAACATTGTATTTTAGATTAGAGAGTGTATGTGTACTCCATAATAGATTTCAAATGAAAGAAAGAGAGACAGTGTATAACAATTTACGAGTGAGTTTTCAAGAGAATAAACAAGTGGACCAGTTATCTCTTCTCATACTGTCATACATTGTATTTGATTTAATATTATAATTTAAATAATTTCATCCAAAAATCCACTAAAGTTGGGCGTGTTCATCATCTTACATACCTTTACAGATGATTTATTGTCTATATAACTGTATATGATGTTGATTCTATATCTTTGTTTGTTAATGTGATAAATGTTTTTTCACAGAAAAAAAAAAAAGATAAAAACTGTAAATAAATAAATAAATAAATACATAAATGTTTATTGTACATGCTTTTCTTCAATGATCGACTATTTTGGCGGCCCATAATTTTTAAGAGCATGTAGCAAACTTGTACATTATGTATGAAGTTAATTTTGGAACAGAATAAATCTTAATTCTTAATGCAATAACATTTCATTATTGTACCTATCAACATTTACTAGACAAATAAAATGCATGTAGAGTGAATTAATGAGTAGCTAGTCTAGTAATTTTTTTATTTTTTTTTATTTTTTTTTGTTGTCAAATCTATGTCATGAATAATTTACTTATATACTTAACTATAACAACCAGGGGTTTAACTATTCAAGCACAACAGTACAAGCTTGTGCTTGTGGACACGCTCGAAACATATTGCAGTCGATTTTATTATACAAATTATGAACTCAAATTTGAAATGAATGATAAAGATTTAAATCGTATTGGTGCAAAACTCTAAGGAAACATTAATGCAAAACGTAATGATGAAAGTAAGGTAAGTTGAACTTGAAATTTTCAAGTGTGAAAAGCTCAGGAGTTGGCTCAAGATTGTAGAATACAAGTTGTCATGAGCTAAGCAAGGTAAACTTAAACTTTGTCACGGCTCAGCTCATTAATGCCCTATTAGCAAACGTGCATGAAAGGTGAAATTTCCCTTAGTGAAGATGTTCAATTGAAATTTCCTTAAAAAAAAATTGTGGTTAGACAAACATCTAACCACCTATGCTAGTTATATATGCTATACACCTATATTATGGTATATAATGGTACTGTCATAGACATTAATATAAGACTCTTATAATAAAATTACACTCTAACTTCGATACCATTATCACAATTTATTAACGCTTAACCGAACAAGTCAATCTCAAGAGAACAACTGGGCTTTAGTCGTCTAATGAAATTGGATGAGAACTAGACTCTTGGAACTTGGTCTCTTATCGTCCTACATAACAACAGCTTTTCATTAATCCTTTTTTGCTGGTTTCATCGAACAAGATTACAGATGCATGTACATTTCATCTTTAATGGTCCTCCTTAGCTATCCTGTCACTGCATGCTCAGAGTTTTGTCCAATTCTTATTTTCTCAATTCTTACCTTTTATTTATTATTAACTATATTTGGACCTACATAATATTTTTAGAATCTGTTTAAATGATGGTAATAATCAATCCTGATTTTATAGGTATCCCAAAAGATTTCAATTTTATAATTTTGAATACTGATTAGCTCACCGAATTTTTATTTTTACACCTAATAATGCCCACATAATTCAGTGAGTTGAATGTGTAATTGTGTATGTTGGTAGAAGCTTTCCACTATCATTTAATTGTAATTAATTAATTAAGAATGTAATTAAGCTATGTTTAATATGATAATGTAGCCGACGATTTTAATGGAATAATTTATAATTTATTATATGATCAAATCGATTATATTAAAGATTACCTGAAGGGTGAAGCTCCCTTATAGTCAAAGGTACAGTGGCCATGAGTTTTCGGCCTATCATATATATATAGTCAAAGGAGTATTATACTACTTCTAATTTAGTGCATATAAGTGATATAACTAGCTCGTTTAACATGAAAAGATAAGTTAGCTAATATGATCAAAGTTTTAAATTCCGTTCATAAACATATTATAAATTCAAATTTATGTATGTATTTACATACCCCGAAGCAACATTGCTATATTTCAATAATATATATGATATCTTTAAGGTTACAAGATCAATTAAAATTAGTTTATACATGCGAGTACAATTAAACACATAAATCTTGATCCAAGTTCATTAAAATTAACGATATGACTGGATATAAGCACAACATTTTTATATAATTGACAAATCGACTCAACTAGCTCGACTCATTTGCAAACTTTACTCCAAGCTAAGCTACCTCCCTTTTAATTATTACAAAATAGTTCTCCTCATTAACTTAGGGTATAAGTGTATGACTAGGCCTCTAAATCTAATACCTAATTTACTGAACTTCCATGTGATAATTAGCTCTTTAGTACATTACAGTACTATTTTCTTTCCCATTGAAAAAGTTGACACAGTCATATCCACTAACCTTAATTAGCTTAACCTAAATATATATTATCTCACAAATCTCTCTACATGTCAACACATAATTAAGTGTAAAAAGACATACACAAATGACACATTAGCCATGCTTCTTCCTACTTGTTTCCTGTAACAGAGAATCCATTAATCTAATTAATAAAGCTAATTATTTCATAAAAAGCTGTTAATGAGATCACTAATTGACCTATGAGAGGTTGAGATTAACAATGATTGGACGCTTTATCTTAATTTATAATACTAATTACTTTATAATACTAATTCTAAATTGCATCTTCCAATAACGTGAAGCCCATTATACCAATGAAATGCAATGCAATATCCTGCAGCCATGTGTTACTATGTAAAAGTATTCTAACTTATTATTAACTATATTCTTAGATCCTTTAACCATATTTATTAACATTTTATTGGTCCGTATTATGTATTAGTGTACTAATTTATTAATATAAGTAGCTTAGCTTTAGTTCAACAAGGAAGGAAAGTCCACCTTGATTTAGTAAGCTACTAACTACTAATAATCTAGGTGCTAACACTTTTCCAAACTTATGCTATGTCATCAATTTTCATTGGCTAATGGTGTAAGATTTTTATTTATTTAGTTATTTATCAAGGGGTAATGGTGTTAGGTTGCTTTAATTTTGTGGGTTTTAGGTTAAAAGTTCTTGATAAGTTTTTCTCTTTTCATCTTTTATTTCTGTAAATTTACTGTAATATGTGAAAATCAGTAAAAGCAATAATAACTCTTTATATTGCTCCCCACAACCTTTTAAGTCCTAGCACAGTGATTTGATCTTTAAATCATAATAAATGACAATAATCAAATTATTACCAATGAGATATATTAATTTCCTCCGTTTTTTAACAAGTTAAGTTTATTATGTACTTAGTAAAAGTCAACTTATTACATCTATAGACGTACGAAGACATATATAGTCTTAGCTTGTATGTATGGTTATCAATCAAAACCGATTAGCACTTGTTATTAATCAACAAAATCGAATTAGAATAACTATTTAAGTTTAGGAAAAAGTGATTATGATCTAGATAATTCAAAGTAACATAAGAAAAAAATATTCATAGGGATCACACATGTACGTGGATTGATGGATACAAAAATTCTCAATAAATTCCTAGTCCTGACATGTGTTAGGTCTTCTTCTCACATGCTCCACCATTTTATGACACAGTAGAAAAACAATGACTTGTTTTATATAGAAAGATACACTTCTATGTAATTACAAATTTGACTATAAGTTTGTTCAAATCACATAAATCGATGCATTGTTTGACTGCATATACTATATACATGGACTCAAAACCATATACTATACAATATGAGAAATATATAGTAGGGTCCCATAAACCACGATATACAGTATGTTACTCCTATGCTTGTTTCTAATTGAAACATGTTAATATTAATTGTTTGCAGCCCTAGTATATGGTAGTAATCCTAGCATAATTATTGTGTTAAACACCTATTAGTAATTTTAATGTTGTATCATCTTTATAATTCTCATTTTCACACTGTTTTCCCCTCTAAATGGGGTCAATTTGACTGATCAAACCATAATATGCAATATTCTCCCTATAAATAGGCTTTGTTAATATCATAATACTAGGTGGAAAATGGAAACCACTAATGCATCTTTTGAGATCACATGGATGATGATCCATTAGCTATGCTAATAGTGATTTTGGGGCATTTAATTTGTTAGCTCAAAAAATAAAAAATAACATCTACTCGTATCAAGCAATATGTCAAATCTGTAATTTGTAAACCAACTCACCATTAGTTATAAAACGAGCATGAAATGTCTTGCTATTATAGCCTTACTTAAGTAATTTCGATAATTAAAAAACATGAAACGTGAATTTTTTTGATTTTCTGATATAAGGTTATAATTAAGAATAACGTTCTCTAATTGTTTCCTCTAAAAAGTGATAAGAATGATAAAGGGTTGCACTGAGCCATTGACCTCCAAATTTTAAAATTAGGAATGTTGGCAAAAAATGAGTTGGGTTTTTGGGCTTGGATCCCTCAGTGTTATTTTTTCTTTCAAGCCCACTAAATTGTTTGGCCCAATATCTGACCTCTTATATCAGGCCCAGTTATTTGGCCTCAAGTCTACCGGAATTGCAATGCATTATGTTCTAAACCCAACAATTTAACCCTTTTTTTTTTTTGGGCAATGAAAAAATTTCTATTATACCCCTTAATCAAATAGTGAAATAACAGTTGACATTTTAATAGCTTGATGATGCCAATGACAATTGATGCTTACATAACACAATTTGTGTTTGTTACAATGTAAGAATTTGTTGAAGAGACTGTCAAAGATGAGATCACATAGCAGCCTAGCAAATGATATGAAGCTTTATCGCATACAATTGTAGAATCCAGAGTGTAATTATCCATGCTGCAATAAGCAATATAGCACCATTAAAACCACGAAATTCTAATTCTCTATCAATTATTATTGAATACTTTTTTCCAAACAGGAATTTTCTCTTAGAATATAGTATGTTCATGTAATATATACTTCGTATAATCATGTTGTGTTATGTTTTTGCTTACCTTACAAGCATGTACATTATCAGACCCACAAAGCAGCTCTCCATTTAACATGTCTAGGGCATCAAAAGCACCCCCTCCCTCACTTCTCTGCAAAAACATATACGTAGTATTCATTAGCATCATCTAATCCAGTACGCGTTGTAGTATGTTACATGCCAAATACAGGAGTACTGTCCTTAGCACTATATAGGTTGTTAGTCTCTGTGCAATACGTGACTTATAACTAACTTCAGTGAGTAAAGTACATTATACAACAAATTTAGGGGCGTATGTACCTTGTAATAATCAACAGCAACGAAATTAGCCCATCTCTTTCCAGCAACATCATGGCATGTATGAAGCATTTTGATCAAATTCGCGGAATTGTCAACACAAGAAAGGTCCCTCAAGGGCACAGACCTAAAAAAGTTAACTAGAACAAGAGACTTGGTTGTAACATCAAGAGCTGATGATTCTGCCCTGTTTGTGCAATTTCCTGCTTTCATTCCACCGTCTCCATCTGCAATAAAAATTTTAACCACACATTAAAACAACCCTTTATTTTATTTTTTTTGTTTAGGACATTTTATAACAGTTTTAGTCAGCTAAATTCATATTCAATCAGGAAAAAAAAGAAGAACTAAAAATCAGTTTTACTTAATAAAAATCAAGTTAAACAATAATACGATTTACCAAAAAAAAAAGAGAAGAGAGGCTGTTTACATTGATTTTCGACCATATAATTCCATTGATACGCGATGCCTTCACTAGCTTCCTTAGATTTCATAGAAGTAAACACAAGTAGCCTTTGGTTTTTCGCTACCATGTCACTAACTAATGGCCAATCTTGGCCTTGTTTTGGCATCCTTGAAGTAGGAAACCAGTACTTTATTAACCCCGCCTTTGTAAATACGTTGGTTAACCCCTTGGGTGCCTTAACATAGTCCTCCAATATCAAGGTCACAATCTCTGTTGGGTTGGAAGATAAGAAAGATTCAATCTCTTTCAAAGTATCAATTGCTGGTTCCTGATAGATGTATTTAGACTTAACAAACCTTGATTCTTAAAATGAATTGAATTATGTAGTGCTAAAATTACAGGATCAATTCGAATTTATAATAATAATGGTTTATGATCAGATTGAAACATCCATACGACCATACACCAACTTATGCATATGCCACTAGTACGTAGGTGTGAAACTACTTATAGCCTTATAGGCAGATACATCATGTCATATCCTTAATCATGATGAATTAAGACCACGTGTTGAGATATTGTTGATTTTGGCATTTTACATCATTATGTAAATGTTAATGCTACTAAAAAAATATTTGAATTTGGATGAAATTAACTTACAAAAGCAGTATAATCATAGCATTTTCCTCCAAACGAATGGCACAACCATACATCTCCATTGAAGTCAGATGTATCAAGCATCAAGGCTCGAACTCCATTCTACACATAATTAGAAATGAAATAATGTTAATTAGTAGTCGAGTTGAGCAAAATAAACGTAACGTTACAATTGCACAAAAGACATTTAAGCGAAAACAATAAGTAAACAAACTCTTACTTGTAGCTGTTGAGTGATGCTATCTTCTTGATTTGAAAAGGTGATTCGAGGAACTTTGGTATGAGATTGTTCTCCACCAATAGCAAAAGCGTTATGTGTTGTCAAGAATGCGTATTTGTTGAAAGGTAGAGAATTGTTCTACATTCGACGAAAACAAAGTGGAAACTATTGATTGGTCGAAGAGTTACCGATAAAAACATAAAATACTACGTAGCTATTACTTTATCTATATACAAATTAGTGATTACAAAGTACGAAGTAGAGTTGATCATCATTCGACGATCCCCAAATAGATACATCCATGAAAAAGTAGGCCAATTTATTCATTCTTCAAACTCAAACTTATCATGTGACTACAAATACAGACGATACAGTTGATACATTAAAGTACTTGACGAAACTTCATTCGACAAAGACTTAACTACGTCACGCATTAAACCTGTAAGGATGGGATAGATTCAATTCTGCAGCAATTCTAATTTTTTTCATATTCAACTCGATTAGCTAATTACAAGCATATATCACCCATTTCATCATATATACCATACCGATAAATCTAATACAGACTACAGAGTATTAATTTTGCGGAAGTACTGTAAATTGAACCAGCCGTAGTGTGTATATTGGTGAATTCGTGCAAACATGTAAAATTAGAATTAAACGTATAACTGTATAAGTGAATATGTTACACCACAAATAAAATTTGAATTAAGAAGTACAACATTATAATCATGTGAATTAATTAAATTAGTCCATCACTTTCTAACCGCGCATATTAAACAAATTAAAATTGAGATTAAGATTTTGTAATACCAGGAGTTTGAATTGATCGGTGGTGGTACTTCTAAAGCAGCTCAGCCCTTTAAATCCTGCTATACAATCGAAGCACCGGAACCCTTCTTCACATTTCCCACAGAAATCAACTTCCATTAAATCCTGTGAATTCTACTAAAAAAAAAATCATTAATCACGAATTGTAATGATATCTTCTGATTAAAGTTTAATAAAAGAGTAATTTGATAAGATAAAGAATTGAAAACAAACCTTGCATTCACCATTGGAGCAAGAAAATGACAGCAGAAAAGAAGACTGAAGACAGAGTAGGAAAATGTACGGAAGAAATTTATTAAGAGACATAATGTTTGATTAATAAAAAGGTGAAAATAGAATTGGTGAATTATATAAGTAATGAAGCATAAAAGTAGTGATATGGTACAATGAACATATTGTTTTTATCCTTTTTTGATTTACATAAGCTTAATACTACAAAAAAGTATAACGAGAATACGGCATTTATGGCAGTATAATGGGGTGTGGTGGTTGAATTTTGGCTCTTCATGGAAATGAATCAAATTTTGAAATTTTCAGGAATCCTTTTTGTCCATGCATCCATTTTTATTTTTCATTGATGAGTATTTTATTTGTACAGAGTAATTTAGATTACGCATAAATTTTAGGGCTTAATCAAAAATTTGAATTTTTGAATTATTGTGTCTATGATTATGGGTATGTTCTTTTCGCCTTACCTAAAATTGTCAATAAAATCGAGTAGTGTATGTATCCAATTTATACTAGCGATAATTATTTTTGGCCTATTTCAGAATGTTGTTGCATTGGTTATTTGGTTGTCAAGAGATGTAAAAGATGATTACAATCACCAGGGTTTTGGTGCCAAGAATCCTTTATTGGGTTATCAAACTCAAACTCAAACTCAAATCCCACCATTCATTTATTTACCAAGTTATCATACCATTGTTGAGTACAGAGAACAAACACATAGTATAGGCAAAGAAATTAAATATGGTTGAGTGTAATATATATGCACATAAAAACTTGACGGGATGAGCTGTTCCACTAGACATTGGAAAAGAGCGAAAGATAAGACAATGTCAACATAAAGAAGATAATGTCAACTATAAGATTGAAAAGTTAATTTCATTAATCCAATAAAGATAATATTTTAGAGACAAGAAAGGAGTTCTATAGATTATTGAGCTTCCGACCACCGGTCCACCGTTGTCTATGCTTAACAACTATAAAGTACTCCGTATGTTAGTATGTAGGTATATTGCTAAGTACTGGAAATTTAAGATAAGCTCAACAATGAAAAGAGGGTGATCAACAAGTGGAAGTTGACTTGGAAAAATACATGATTCGATTAGTCCACTTTTATTTAATTAGTTAAACCATATTGTTTATACTTTATCACCAACTGATTAGTGATTAGTGATTGTTATAATATGAGGATAAGTATATCCAATCTCATTTGACAGTTCACATTGTACTTTTAGCTTATCAATTTAATATTCTAGAGATAAATGTGTTGCTGACTAATTATTTTGCGATTTGATTAAAGCATGAGATTGTTTACAAAGGTGCATTACATACATTTTACGTACACTTGTTTCGCAACCAAAATATACAAGGGGTGACTTTTACATAAATTTTGCTTCTTATTTGAAGGCTTGAAATTTTTGCTAATTGGCTTCCTCACTTTAGCTCAATTAGTTTTTTTAAGACACTCTATTGCCAATTTTTAAACTTTACAACAGTCGTAATCCAAAAAAAAATGGACTATTTAACGTTGAACATCTTCCAATTATTACAAAATAAAAGAAAATTACTGTACAGTATTTTGTTTTCAGATTTTTCAATATTAGCTAGCTAGGTTTGATTAGGAAAATATCATTTGTGATATAGTATATATCCATATCAGATCAATTTAGATATGATCTGATTTGCTAGATAATATATTTAATTAGAAAATTTTGATATTATATATTATAAGGTTTATGAAACATAATATAGTTTCCTAACTATCAAGATTTGCTGAGATGTATAGACTTGGTTGATTATTGATTCATAAGAACAAACTTTGCATTTCTGTAACCATACTACTTTATTAATACAAATATAATCCAAAGTTCCAAACCCAAACAATTACTACTCAATAATATAATGATCTCATATATAGTTTAACAACTTTGAAACAAATTAAAACTATTATTCAAATACTTTGTACTACATTAAAATCAAATAAAACAATATAGCTAGTGAAATTATTCTTTTCCGGTGTTGGAGAAAAAATGGTTGATAGTAGGCATAACTTCGGGAGAACGAGTCCTTAAGAACTTGCGAAAGCCATGCTCTGCATATTTCTCTCCTTCCTCGTAGTTTTCCAGCACTGCTGTTGTTCTATGAGCTTTGTTGATTCTATCATATGAAATAATAACCAATCAATGTTTCTAATTTTTTTAAAAAATAAGGTGAAAAATATTAGATTTAAATTATTAAATGGATTATTCTGTGTATTTAGATTATTTTGTTAATTACCTGACATCAGGGTTTAGTAGCACATTCCTTGTTAGCTGAAATATGCACATACCGGTGACATATGACATTGCTGCTATTAGTGGATATACCTGTAAAATTATACAAAGTACGTTGTAATTACGTACTAATCAGAAATTGTTTATAGTTAATGAAAATATTTTGCTGATTAAAATTTTATACACATTCTGTCTCTGTATTTGACTTTTTATGGTTTTTGTGAAAAATCGTGACCATTAATATATTTAATCACGTAATTATAATCATAAAATATAACTCTTTTCTTTTGAAAATACACATAAAAAACATATAAATACTCACTCTAAAGTTTATAAAATAGCAATTAATTTAGAAGGGAGGGATCGAGCTAATAAAAAAACAAATTAAAGGCGCTCACAAAATAGAATCAATAAATCATACGACATATACTATATACGATAGATTAACTTAAAAAATTAATGGATTAAATCTCATTCATCATTTACTTATAATGACGCTTTACCGAAAAGAGGAAAAATAAACTTACATCGGGCTTGATCCAACGTCCCATTTCGGGTTTTTTTTTTTGACAATAAATTGAGCTTGAAGGACGAACTTTTAAATGATTTTACCTCTTTGGTATAGAGTACTTGGGATATAAGTCAATTAGTTATTTGTGTATTTATGTATAAAAATTACGCGTAGAATTATGTATATATAGTGCACAGAAAACTTCATTTTAAATTCTGTGGGCTGAATAAATCATATATGAACTGTAATTAAATCTCAAAGAATAATACGCGCGTCTACGTAATTTTTTTAAAACCAGGTGCTTGAGCCTCTTGTATTGTATATGGGGTCAAACAAATGACCAAAATAACCTAGAATTTACTTCTTGGTCAAGTCTTCAGCCCATATATCTTCCATCTCAGCCCTCTCCTATGATATGGATAATTAAATGTACAAAATTGACTACTACCTCGTTGACTAAAATATTATTATTTTAATCTACAAAATTGACTAAAATGAGACTAAAATAAATTCGAAAAATTAGCATTTCTAGAACTATACGAGTATAAAAATCCAATAATTAATACAAACAAATTATGACTATTTTTTTTCCCCCCGAGAAGTTTAACTAATAAATAGACCGACATCTTACTTGAAAGAGTCGGAAATCCAACAGGAAAAATCCTCATTAATCCACCATTATTAGGCTGACAATGAAAATTGACCTCTAATTTATAATCTTACGTAGTTAACATCTTAGTTAACTTATTTAATTCTATGATAGAAAAATGTAAGTACGTACAAAGTCCAAAACAAATTCAACAACATTATTATAACCTTGTTCTCAATTAACTTATTTAATTTTAAAATGAAAATAATATGAGTATATTTGTATTTAACAATTACAGGTACCACAATGGCGCCAGTTTATTCTATAACAATTTACCTTTACCTACATGATTCCCATAGGATCGAGTATATGTATAGGAGGAATAAATGTTATCATGACAATATTTTGAAACACATGGCCTTTCTCGATGTCCAAGTTTTCACTCGCTTATCCTCAAAGTAAGCTTTAGGCAATCAAGCATTATATTTGTTTCTCTCAATCTCAATCAATTTTCATCTTTAGGTTTCCTAGAACTTCATATATAAAAAAGTTAAATATTAAGATGCATGCTAAAATCCACTTAAATAAGTTAATAAAACTCTACAAAGCTCTAAGGTTAAGACATCATTATCTAGCTTGGAGGGTGACACATTACATTTTCCTAAACTATATATAATGTGAAAATTCCAATATCGTGGGGAAAAAAAAATCTCATGATAGGAAATATAGCAAGCTAAGTAACTTTAGTTATAACATCTCTATCATTATTAGCTTTGCTGACTTTAATTACTAAATTCATCTAGAGGCAACCAAGTTTCAGCTCACTACAGGTTGGGTATTATATTGTTGAGTTTTTGACACTCAAACACTCAGCTTTTTACACTGCATAACTGCATAAGTACCCTGAAAAAAAAATGTACAGCAATATGACACATTAGTAATGGGATTTTGAGATGTCTAGCGGGCATTTAGAATCTTTTGTAGCAACTCTTGAGAGTCTTGATTAAAAAATAATGTAGGTCCGAAGTGGTTATGTGGTTGAACTAAACTCATTCTCGGGGATTTAGAGACTTATTAATAGGCTTATTATGATTCTAAACCATCTTTTATGATCGTGGGAGATGCCACACATCATGATCGTGGGAGATGCCACACATCCACTTTAATTAGTTACAGATTTTTTTTTTTTCCAAAATTGATTGTATATGAGAAATTTCAACTTTTTCGAAAGGCTAGAGGTCAAGACGATTCTCACAATCCCATTAAGAATCTAGAAGGCCACTTGGGTGTTGAAATCCTCTATTTTGCCTCTTAATTTTCAAGTTCTGTGGTTATTGATTTAAGGTCAATACAGGCTTTTATGTGACCAATTAGCTAGTAGGTGTATATGGCTATCTAATTGAATATATGACTTACTAGAAAATCAACACTATCTTATCACTTATACGCTTTATCACCACCACAGTAATATATTATACTATACTTACGGGCTTACCTTGTGTCAATATACATAGTGTGTGACTGTCTCAAAATTATTTATTGTTAAATTTGTAAATATTTTCTGAAGTTACTATTTTAACAAAAATATTTTAGCACCTCCATCACAATACCCATAAGTTAGTGTAAGGCCATTTCACCCAAGCATGAAAAAAAAATCTTAAGATAATGATTATATTATTAAGTCTTTGCTCTAAAAAAAAAAAAATTATTAAGTCAGTGTCGCGAACTCATTTGTTGAACCATCAAGTCATTATCACAAGAAAAAAGAACCAATGAACCACCATACAACAAACTTACAAACATAAATATGATTAATTAACACCAAAATCTGGTAATAATCTTAGCTTTATAGTAGCTTAATATATATTGCATGGTTTGCTTAATTGGTCTTTTGTTAGTAGATCCCACTCTCACCGTTAAAAGGAATGTATGAAGAAGAACCTTGCTTAAAAGACACGAGATCTAAGTATTAAGATGAGTGTACCACAAAATTAATCCTAACATTTTTTGGACATTATATAAAGTCCTTCTTCAACAACCAGTTGGTAGTAAAGCTTTAAGCTTACCTTGCATTAAAAGTGATACAAAGAAAAACAAACAAACTACTACTACTGTTACACATTCCACATTTTCGATCATCAAATTTTGTTTACATTCGTATAGTAGTTTTTGTTTTAGAATTTTAGATCTTAGGCAAAGAGTCGAGGAACTCGAAATCGTTATATATTCAAGAACGATTGATGATCAAAGAAGCTATATAAATCACATTTTTGACAAGACCATTGTTTTTTAGAGCTGCATATATATACAGAAATGAGGAGTCTTATTATAGCATTTTGCCTTGTGACATTTCTGTCTTATGCAGGTTAGTCTATGTTTTAAATTTTATTCATTTTTTCTAACTTATTATAGTGTTTTGGGCTAATAGTAGTAAATTTATGTGTTATTCTTGGATGTAGCTGCATATGATCCCTTGGATCCAAATGGGAATATAACAATCAAATGGGATGTTATGTCATGGACCCCTGATGGTTATGTGGTAAGTATTATCATTTTATTACTATACTTAAATACTAATGTTTATATTATTATCATGTTTTAATCAATGTATGTTTTTTTTTTAAAAAAAAAAAAATCAACAACTAGATAAATAAAATGACTTTTTGTTTAGGATATATACTCTCTTGGTTTCAAAATTTTAGATGCACAATTTCTCAAGGATAGTCTTTAGTTGTTTATTTTCTTCAAATATACGAGATCTATCATCTATTGCAGGCATACTCTATAACTATTAGTCATATTACGACTTTAGAATGTAGCCACCTTTAAGTTCGAAACACACGATTGCCTATTTCCATAAGTATTAATTCACTTGATTCATTAATAAAAAATCTAGTCTAGGTTTTTTAAAATTCAAACTTATACTAACCAAAAAAATTATATTGCATGAAAAAAATGCAGGCAACGGTAACAATAAACAATTTCCAAATGTACCGCCACATAGGCAATCCAGGGTGGCAATTGGGTTGGACATGGGCCAAAAAAGAGGTAATATGGTCCATGGTAGGAGCCCAAACAACCCAACAAGGAGACTGTTCCAAATTCAAAGGGAACATTCCTCATTGTTGTGAAAAAACCCCAACAGTTGTGGACCTTTTACCAGGGGTACCCTACAATCAACAGATTGCCAATTGTTGTAAGGCTGGTGTCCTTAATGCGTGGGGCCAGGACAAAGATGGGTCAGTTTCTCAGTTTCAGATTAGTGTTGGGCAGGCTGGTACTACTAATAAGACTGTTAAGTTGCCCAAGAATTTTACCATGTTGGGCCCAGGCCCAGGTTATACTTGTGGGCCTGCTAAGGTTGTTCCTTCTACTAATTTCTTGAGTACGGATCGGCGTCGTAAAACTCAGGCATTGAGTAAGTTTAACTCTTATCTCTTGGTTTTTACTTTTGTTTATTTTTGTGTTGCTTTGTAAGTTGATTAATGAATAATGATTAGATTATCACTAATTTTAAGCTTGCATGGTTAGTTTTGGGTTGGATCCTCCTCATTTCCTATTTTTATGATTAGACGCGTAAGCATTAATCCTTTTATAAATTACCATCATGATCATGCATACTTGACCGTTAACCTGAGATAATTACCTATACGCCTATACTCTGTTTTATTTTATCCTATGCACAAGCAAAGATTCAAGTGTCCGGTACAAATACAAATTAGGAATTTCGGCCTAATTTTGCATTCACACTAGTTTCAATTGTGATTACTACCCCCGTTTAATATTCATATGGTCAAAATAAAATAACTTTGACCAAATTATTATGAGTTGTACAATAGAAATAAATTAGCAAGTGAGATCTTATTAATTGCTCCTTATGTATTATAAATTTCCCATATATCAACTTTTTATAATGTATACTTATACATACTCGAAAATATTTATGAAAAAAAAATGTTCATTAGAGACCGTACAAATGCAAAATTAATCGAATTTTCAGAAATGAAGGGAGTAAAATGAAAGCTCGATATAATAATTAAAGAAAAGTTTTTATTTTATTTTTATTTGTTATTTTAATCTGCTAATATTAGTTAGAAAGTCATATTTTTGGACTAAATATAAATATTGTTAGTTTGGTTAGTCACATCTAATTCTGAAAATAACAGGTTAACAAATACGAAATATGAATTTACCTAGATTAATTGTTTAATTGAATGTTTGATGCAGTGACATGGAACGTGACCTGCACCTACTCACAGTTTCTGGCGAGGAAATACCCATCTTGCTGCGTCTCCATGTCAACTTTCTACAATGAAACTATCACCCCATGTCCTACTTGCGCCTGTGGATGTGAACATAAGAAAAATTGTGTCAAGTAAGAATTTTTCAAAATAAACTTTGCGTAAAGTCTGTTCGTCTAATTGGAATCAATTTAGGTGATACGAATATACGATCCTGTTTAAGTCCGGTTTAACTTGTAGTATAATAACCATACATAATGTATTCAGATTGAGTTGTTTTGGATTGGATTGGATTGGATTAAATCGAGTTGTTATTCCACTAGTCCACTACCACTAGTGTTTTCTAAATTCTGACTCAAAATTGTTCACTACAGGAGTGATTCAAAAATTCTGAGTCCCACAAAAGTGAATTCGCGGAGGAAAGAAAGCTCCTCATTGCTTCACTGCACCCATCACATGTGCCCAGTTCGGGTGCACTGGCATGTTAAGGTTAACTACAAAGACTATTGGCGCGTTAAGGTTAGCATCACCAACTTCAATTATCGAACAAACTACAGCCAATGGACTCTTGTTGCTCAGCACCCTAACCTGAACAAGGTTACTGAAGTCTTCAGCTTCAACTATAAACCTCTTGTTCCCTTTGGATCGATAAGTAAGTTTCTGACAATGGTTCTGATAGCTTCAGACCACAAATCATATACTTCTGAATTTCTTTGACAGTTATCTGAAATTTATCGCAGATGATACTGGGATGTTTTACGGGCAAAAGTTCTATAACGATCTTCTGATGGAAGCCGGACCATTAGGTAATGTACAGTCTGAAGTCCTAATGCAGAAAGATGAGAACACTTTCACCTTCAGGCAAGGATGGGCATTCCCTAGGAAAGTTTACTTCAACGGAGATGAATGCAGGCTTCCTGCACCTGATACATACCCTTTCTTGCCAAATTCAGGACTTAAACCATCAGTCTCAGTTTTCACGATGATTTTGTCATTTGTCCTGCTAATCTTCAGCTGTGGCATATTTTCTCAATTTTGAGCATTGTAATAGTTGACATAAAAATATCAGATGGGGAAATATATTTCCAGAATACGAGTAGTATTGGAAAATCAGGCATAGAAAATTCATTTCTCGTTTTGAACAAGGATCTGAATTCTGCAATATGTAAAGCATCTGGTACATGCTAATTTTGAGCAATGATAACATGATGGGAAGTATAAGTTAGAATTAAGTTCCATTGTGTGGTAGGCAATTTTTGTAACAACTGTAAGTTTTTTGTAATACAAGAAATATACAGAAAAGGATGATTAATACATTAATAAACCCGAGAATTACAAAAGAATGAAAACCAATTGGCAATGAATGCACCAACCTAATCATCAGACAAATAGCAAGCAGACTACACCCCTGAAGGGTGATCGTGCAGCTGATCTTCAACAGGCCTCCCACTCAGTCTTCAAAGCCAAGTATTGAAATAAAAATCCATTCCGAATTTCCATGTTATATCTACGTGCTCCGAGAAAAAGGTCAAGACTCTTAAGCATGAGTATATAAGAATGCCAGGGTTGATAATAATGTCAATGTTGTAGTTAATAGAGAGATATATGGCCGAGGACTGGCATTTGGCAACCATGGGTAGGTATCAGGAGGTGGCATGACACAATTGTCACCATTGAAGTAGATCCTGCGAGGGAAAGCCCAACCCTTTTCGAAAGTAAAAGTAGACTTGTCTTTTTGAAAGAGTAATTCAGACTGAACATTGCCTAATGGACCAGCTTGCATAAGAAAATCGTTATAGAACTTAATTCCCCATAGCATAGCAGTATCATCTATACAGCAATAACAACAAATCAATTATTTCTGGAGAGAAACCAAACTAATCAAGATATGGAAAAAACCAGAAAAGCAACTACTATTCCTCAACATGCAAATAATGAGCACAATTTTATTTCACTATTATGGAGGATAGAAAAACTTACTTATACTCGAGTAAGGAGTTAGTGGTTGGTAACTGAAGCTGAAACTTTCGGTCAAATTGTCAAAGTTAGGATGTTGCACAACCAAGTTCCAGTTTGAGTAATTCATCCTATAGTTAAAGTTTGTAATTGTAACTTTCACTCGCCAATATTCTTTGTAGTTAGTTTTGACATGCCAGTGAATCCGAACTGGACACATATGGCTAGTGCATTGAACCAGAGGTGGCAAGATACTGTTTTTGTTCGATTGTGCAGGAGAAACAACTGAAGCCAAATATGGGTTGTTCGGTCTGTCATAAAAAGAGAATGACAAATTTTAATATTTTCACTAGAGAAAGCACCAAGAAGAGTTTGTAAAGCAAATAAAAAGCTTACTCTACGCAGCTTCCTGGGTTGGAGGCATTGTTCTGACAGCCACAGCTGCATGTTGGGCAAGATATTATAGTATCGTTGTAGAAGGATGAAAGAGATACACAGCACGTGGGAGTTTTCTGGGAAAGGAACTGAGAATACATACATGTCACATTCCATGTCACTGCAACACAGTTTCAGCAAAGAAATCAGTAAATTGAACCATAACATTAAATGGCACATAAAAGATCATCATAAATGGCATTGATCAAGGATCCTTCTGGTTGACAATTTTTTATCTCTTTTCAAAATTGTGAAACCAATAGGACTTAAAATTATTCTTCGTATATGATGCATATCTGAAAACACGACACAATATGCAGTATTTATAATTGTAAGTCCCAATTAACTTACTTAAAGCTTGAGTGGATCTCCTCCCATCTTGGGATTTGAATTTGCTGGGTTTAACAATCTTTCCCGGTCCACAAGTGTAACCAGGTCCAGGTGCCTTTAGGGTGAAATTCTTTGGCACTTTGACTGTTTTGTTAGTGGTGCCTGCTTGTCCCACACTAATCTGAAATGAACTAATCGCAGTTGGAGGATCTTGCACCCATGAACTCAGCACTCCTCCCCTACAGCAGTTAGCAGCTTGCTGGTTGTAAGGAGTCCCAGGCATCAAGTCTACAATGGTTGGATCCTTCTTACAGCAATGTGGAATATTGCCCTTAAATTTTGAACAGTCCCCTTGCTCTGTTGCTTGGCCTCCCAACATATTCCAAATAACCTCCTTTTTCGCCCAAGTCCATCCAAGTTGCCACCCGGGTGCTTGAATGTGGCGGTACTTCTGGAAGTTGTAGAGTGTAACCACAGCCTAAGAATCCAATCAGAGGAGAAAGACTGTTAAGAAGCTATTTGCCAAAGATTTTACAAAACAGAAAGACTTATACTAAGTGACAAAATGTAATACTTCATACATAATCTTTAGGATCTGGTTCATGGCAGTGCTAAACAGGTATCAAAGAAACATGAAAATGAATAAACATCAGGTACATAAGCTATCATTTCATATAAGAAATGGACACCGGATTAGCAACACAATGATCCTGTTGCTAGGTATGATAAATAGACAATATGCTCAAGATTCCACGCTTCAAACCAAGGACACGGTGTTGGAAGAAAAGACAGCACCATATGTCTTTGCTTCTTAAATGTACACAAATATACAACGCCCCAATCAAGAAAGAATTACTTACAACATAACCATCAGGAGTCCAATTTATGATATCCCACTTGATGGTAATGTTCCCATTTGGATCGAGAGGATCGTATGCTCCTGAAAATAACCAAAAACAAATTCATCAAGCTTCGTCTTAAAATCCTCTTGTTGCGAAACAAAAGCAATTAGTGACAGGAACATGTAGAGCACATCTTACTGACATTTATGATATTCACAGTTCTCAGTAGAAAACAATGAAAGTTCCCACAGGGAAAGAATGCAATTCAAGTACTCCGTACCTTCAATGTTTTTCACAACTCTATTCATATACACCACCCATTTACTAAAAAACCATACTAAAAATCCCCGATTCCCTGTAATGCAATTCAAGTACTCCGTACCTTAAATGTTTTTCACAACTCTATTCATATACACCACCCATTTACTAAAAAACCATACTAAAAATCCCCGATTCCCTGTTTCCGTGCAACCTAGGTGCTCATATGGTTGCAATTTTTTCACAGTAACAACATGAGAACCTTGATCCCACTCTGATTGTGACCATGGGACGGCTACATGAACCAAGATTTTACCTCCTATGGTCATCCATGTAAATCCGGAAATTTTTTAGATTTTCAAAATTCACAAATCACTAACCTAAGTTGGAACCTATATTGCACATTTGCACACATAATCTGATTATCATAACAAGCTCACTCATGTACGAGTAAATGACAAAGTGGCAAATAAAAGTACTATAAACAAAATGTCATGATGGTTGAGGAATTATACAGGATATTACCAAATGGGCAAAGACAAAACAATAATAATCAGGGCAAATATTTCAGTTTTCTGATACAATCCATTTCAGACAGTATTTCTTGATATTTATATAGTATTTAGGAAAGCATTTCCAATTTACAGAATTATTTTGTAAGACGTAATTTCATGAAGCTACTGTAACGTTACATGACCCAAAACCAACCAAATTAAAAAGATATAAACAGGGTAAATTCCAGCAACAACTAATTAAAAAGAGTAGCAACATAAAACAAACGATTACGGAGTACTTCGTATATGTTTATAATACTAACAAAAAATCAACAACACAACATTCCCATTTTAGTTTTAAAATAACTTTTTGGGGAATTTCAGGAAAAAAAAAAAACAAATTGCAAATGAAATTAAAAATAGTCATCAAATTCTCAAACTTTAGAATTGCAAATTCTTGATCAAACAAAATGGGTAAAACCCAAACGTTAAAAATCTTTAAGTTCATTCATAATTATTATTTTTTTTTTTTTTGGGAATTTCAGGCAAAAAGATAATAATTACAAATGAAATTAAAAATAACCATTAAAGTCACAAACTTTAGAGCTAGAAATTCTTGATCATACAAAATGGGTAAAACCAAATGTCATAAAAATATCGAATTCATTCAAATTGATCAGCAAATAACCATTAAAGACTCAAACTTGAGAAACCCAGAATCAAAATCAGTGGAAAAAAAAGAGAGAGAAGGAAAGCTTACCTGTAAGTGTAGAGGTAGAGCAACAGAAGAAGATGAAAAAACACAAATTGCGAAATGAAAAGAAACCCATTTTGCAGAAAATAACCAGGAATTGAATTGAGAGAAGAGAGAGAAATTATGAAAAGAGAAAATGAGTGGTGTGGACTATGGAGGCTCAAAATTGGACTTCCAGTAGCTTCTGAAGTTCACGTGCCAAATCATTTGAGAAATAGTGGGATGAGAAGAAAGAATTTGCACTAATTATGAACTACTAGTTATATAAAATTATAAATATTCTTGGTTGAACTTTTTTTTGTTTGAGCATTGAATTTTAGAATGTGTGTCTCATCCTTGGTAATGAAAATGACAATAAGAGAGCGTGTTGTTATTTGAAGTTTTAATAATGACTTGAGCATGGCCCATGGTATGTTTAATGATAGATTCTAGACTTCTAGTGGGATGTCTTTTGGATTTTGGTTGTTTTTTCTTTTTGTGAATAGGGGTGGCTTTATTTTACAATTCTACGTCTTATATTTTACTAGTTTTGTTTCATATTAAGTTGATAATTTTTATATAGATTGTTGGAGTAGTTAATACAAAATATATTACTCCGTAAATTTTATTAATAAACACCTATCAATTGGTTTGAGGAGGAATTTCATACTGACATGTCAAACGGTCATACATATTCACATGACACAAATACAACTATCCTTAAAAGTTTCTCATAAATGTTACAGAGTATTCTCCCTGCACCAAAACCCGTTAATTCATGAAAAATTCCATAAATGGATGAGAGAATTAGTGACACAAAACCCACATGTACTATATTGATGGACAAGGTTTGCTTAGCATGCAAGTGTTGCTTTAGAATTTAATAATAATATAATAAATCGATAAGTTAAGAAGAAAGTAAACTAGGGAAGTAAAGGGAGTTACTATGTTTTTGTATAGTAAGTGTCGTGTAGGAAGAAGCTGCTAGATTAGTGCAATACTACTCCAGTTGTTAAATTAGTGGAAGACAGTGCACTTCCAGCTTGTCTTGTGTTATGGTATATCCGTGTGGGATTGATTATATATTTATATTGACTCTTTCTTAAACTAAACAAACGCACCCTTTCCTGATTTTCTATTTTTCTTCCTTTTTTTGGGGTTTTTATTTTTATTTTTCATATATATGCTCATCTGTGTCCAAATTAGTGGTTGGCTGATATCCACGTCATTGGGTAGGTCATTTTTAAGGGAAAAAAACTTTTTTTTTTTTTGGACTTGCATGACCGCATTTGGTTGTCAAATTATCTCTTGCTTGACGTTTGGCAAATTGGGTTTGTGCCTTTGGTGGCAACATTCAATTGCAGAGTATATTATTTTGTTGGTGCACACGGAGTATATTACAAGTATTGTTAAGTGTACACAATTTGATATATGGAGTAAACGTTTTTAAGTACATAACTTTGATCAATAAGATTTGGTTTTTATGTTAGTGTAATCTAACATTTAGGACTTGAAAGTGAATTTTACAAATAGTTTTCACATAACATAAATTGGATAAATAGAAACCACTGAAATCAACATAGCCATGTTTATGAAATTATGAGGAGCAAAAAACGTGACACTAAAAATTAAAGCTCGGCTTGTACAACAACATACTCTTAGTAACATACAAAGTACAACTTTAATTTGATGCCATTGCTTAAAATGATTCTTAAGAGTATGTGTACAACTACTTCATCATACACACATATGGCCATGGGACTCGCTTGCTCTTCTCCAATACACTTTCATTGTGTTTTTGATAAATTAGATAGAAAATAGAATTGAATGGCTTGAATATAATTTCTCACTGATCGTAATGTCAAATATATAATAGTTACACCTCCTAACAATAGAATCAAAAAATATACTAGAATCCTAAGAAATTAACTAAAATACAATATATAATAATTGCCAAAAGTATCCTCACAAAAATATATTATACGATATCTCATTACCCCTCCCCCCCCCCCCAAGTTGGAGCGTGAGGATTGGAAACGCCCAACTTGGAAAGAAGATAATCAAACTGAGATTTGCCGAGAGCCTTGGTGAAGATATCTGCGAGCTGGGAGTTGGTTGGAACATGAGAGGGAGAGATCAAGCCTTCAGTAATTGCATCTCGAACAAAGTGACAATCGACTTCAATGTGCTTCATTCGTTCATGAAAAACGGGTTCTTAGCTATGTGTAGAGCCGACTCACTATCACAAAATAATTTAATTGGCTTCGGATGTTGAACACTTAGACTCACAGTAGAGCTTTTAACCATTTAAGTTCACAAGTAATAGCCGCCATGGACCTGTAATCGGCTTCTGCCGATGATGTTGACATTGTGTGCTGCTTTTTAGTTTTTCATGAAATAGGTGACTTGCCAAGAAACACTAGCCACCCAGAAAAAGACCTCCGTGTAAGAGGACAGGCGGCCGAATCTGAGTCACACCAACCTTGCAGATTTAAGTAACAATCAGAGCTCAAAAGAATACCCTGTCCCGGAGTGCCCTTTAAATAGCGCACTACTCTCAATGCCGCTTCCCAATGTTCACTACGGGGTTCTTACATAAACTGGGATAGTATGTGAACTGAATAGGCTAAGTCAGGTCGTGTTACCGCAAGGTATATCAGACGACCAACCAGCCTTCTATACTGTTCTGGATCCGAAAGTGGCGCACCACTTGCTAGGTCGAGCTTGTGATTTTGTTCCATCGGAAACCCACTTGGCTTTGCACCCAATAAACCTGCTTATCCAAAGTATATATTCTTTGACATAAAAATAAGCCTGCAGAGCTACGAGCAACCTCGATGCCATATTTCAAAGGACTAAGGTCCTTCATCTTGAAACAATCACTAAGATAGGCTTTAAAAATAGTAAGTGCAGCGGAATTATTCCCATAAATAATGAGATCATCGACATATACTAAGACATTTATTTGAATGTTAGTTGAGGTGTATGTAAATAATGAATAATCAGAGTAGGCTTGTAGGAAACCATACTGTTTCAAAGCCTTGACAAGCTTTGTGAACCAACATCTGGGAGCTTGCTTCAAACCATATAGAGACTTGCGTAATCTGCAAACCAAGTTGGGATCCTTACTTTCAAACCTGGGAGATAGCTTCATGTATACCTCCTCATCAAGGTCACCATGTAGAAATGCATTGTGAACATCCATTTGATGGAGTTCCTAATTTTTCGAAGCTGCTATGGCAAGAACAGTTTTGACTGTTGTCATTTTGGCCACCGGAGCAAACGTCTCATCATAATCAATGCCTACTCTCTGATGATTACCAAACACAACCAAGCGAGACTTGAGACGCTCAACATTCCTATTAGACAAAAACTTGGTCTTGTAGATCCATTGGCTCCTAAGAGCCTTCTTTCCCAGGGGAAGATATTCCAAGGTCCATGTGTCATTGTCTTCCAGAGCTCGAATTTCTTCTTTCATGGATTTGCGCCACCCATCATACTTCATAGCTTCTTTAAAAGACGTTGGATCCTTGTTTCGAACAATTGCTGTAATAAAATTCTGATAATTCACAGAGAAAGTGTTACAATTTATATAATGTGCTAGGGAATACGGAGTACCTGAAGTCTGATTGGAAGAACGAGACGGACTCTTAGCAACAACCGTGTGTGTAACAAAATCCCGAAGTAAAACTGAAGGATATTTTTCTCGGAAACCACGACCCATCTCATCATTATTAGGCGAACCATGGCTGGAATTGTGTGACTATATGGGCTCGGACACAAGTGGTTGTGGCACTGCAAGCTGGTCAGTGTGTTGCAGCTTGGTAGTAGCAGCCTCATCATGCTGTTGTGCGGTCTGTCTGGCAGGGGCAGGTTGCGGCTGGGCAATAGCAGCAGCCTCATCATGCTGTTGTGCCGTGAACTGCTGTCGTACGATCTCCGTCTCAACTTGTGGTGAAGACACATCATTTCCTTCCCCATTAATTATATTATGCTCAACTTCAGCATTATAAGCAACCAAATCATCATCACTCACAATAAAATCCGCAAAATCAACATGATCATTATCCCCCGTCTCACAAAGATTCGGATCAATATTAGCATCTTCCGGACTACAAAAAGGGAACACATCTTCCACAAATTTCACATCACGAGAGACAAAAAATTTCTTTGTGTCAAGATCTAATAGCTTCCACCCCTTTTTACCGAATGGATACCCATAAAGACACATTTACGACTCCTACTAGCAAACTTATCCCCCCTCGTCTTTTGATTGTGTGCGAAACACAAACAACCAAAAGTACAGATAACACTAAAAGAAGGAGGTTTATTGAAGTGAATTTCAAACGGTGTTTTATTTTGAAGAAGAGGAGTAGGAGTTCGGTTAATCAAATGAGCTGCAGCTAAAACACACCCCCCCAAAAAAAAAAAAATTGGTAGTTGTGCTTGAAATCTCAAGGCTCTCCCAACATTAGTAATGTGTTTGTGTTTTCTCTCTACTCTCCCATTTTGTTGAGGGGTTCCAACACACGAGGTTTGAAAAAGAATTCCAGTGGAAACAAAGTAATCATGCAAACAATTAAATTCGGTTCCATTATCACTTTGCACAATTTTAATTGTTTGATTAAATTGTCTATCAACCATAGCAACAAACGCCATAAACATCCGAAAAACTTCAGTTTTATCAAGCATCAAATAAATCTAAACAGCTCGAGAATAATCATCAACAATAGTAAAAAAATAACGAGCCCCACACGATGAAACATGTCGATATGGACCCCATAAATTACAATGATTTTTTTCAAAAATTCTAGAAGCTTTATTGTCACTTAGACGAAATCTGTCTCTAGGATATTGAGCACGAAAACAAACTTCACATCCTTTTGCTAAACTACTTTTATTATTGCTAATATGAGGAAGCAACTTAACTACTTTTTCCGAAGGATGCCCCATTCTTCTATGCCAAAGATCCAAATCAGATGACGCTTCGATCACAGACACACGTTGCACCACATCCGGTTTGCTAAGATAATAGAGTCCGTCGCGCCTAAGTCTCGTTCCAATCAGCTCCTTCATTGGGTCCTATATGGCACACATATGTGAGTTAAATTGTATAATAACTCTTAATTGATCACTGAGTTGAGAAACAGAAATTAAATTGCAATTCAATTTTGGGACATAGAGAACGCCAAAGATAGTAATTTTATCGGACAAGTAAACCGAGCTGGCCAAAGTTGCGACTACACTTGCACCATTGGGCAAGCCAACAAGACATTCAATGGCGTAAGTGTCAAAAAGCCAAGATTTATTTTCGGTTACATGGTGAGTAGCTCCGGTATCGATAATCCAACAAGTATCATCAAAGTTACCATTTAGCCGATTTTGGGGAACTCTTGTATTACCCATAAGGCCAGACAAAGCCTCCCTACATGGAGATTGATGGTCGGGTTTTTCTGGTGGCGGCGGTGGTGATGTATCATCGTCGGGCATGGATATTTATTGAGGAGAAAAATAAAAAAATTAACCTGCTCTTGATACTATGATAAATTAGATAGAAAATAGAATTGAATGGCTTGAATTTCTCATCGATCGTAATGTCAAATATATAATAGTTACACCTTCTAACAATAGAATCAAAAGATATGCTAGAATCCTAGGAAGTTAACTAAAATACAATAAATAATATTTGCCAAAAGATATCCTCACAAAAATATATTATACGATATCTCATTAGTTTTAGATTTTCGAGCACCAACATACTTGCATATAACCTTCCAAGTGACTGTCAAATGTGAAAATATTAAAATATTAATAAGTCACCAATCCAACAAATATGTATTATATCGAATTAACAATATTTAGTACTTGTATGACATTATAACCCAATTTAAAAGTTTTTAGAGATAAATTTAAACTCGTAATTCTAAATATGTAGAGTAACAAACTTACTTTTAGCATGAGAAATACTTGGTACGAGCAACCACCTTTGCAGGTCCGCAGGTGTAACGACTTCCGGGTGCCTTGAATGTGACCTTCTTAGGCAATTTAACCGTCCTAACACTAGTGCCTGCTCGTCCGACGCTATGTTGGAAGGCGCTTATCGAACGAGATGACGGATGTTGTGGAGACCATGAAGCAAGCACCCCTCCTCGACAACAATTTGCAACTTGTTGGTAAAAGGGAGCTCCAGGGTTTAAGTCTACAATAGTAGGGTTTTCATTACAACAATGTGGGATGTATCCTTTGAATTTCGAGCAATCTCCTTGGTTTGTTGCTTGAGCTCCTACTGCACTTCATATGACCTCATTTCTTGCCCATTTCCACCCCAATCGCCACCCCGGTGCTCGAATACTACGATGTTTTTGGTAGTTGTTGATTGTAATCGCAGCCTGTTTGCCAATTATTCTAATAAGGCTTATTATATTAGTCTTTGACTAATTGTTTATCGAATTGAAGGACAACTTACAATGTAACCATCGCGAGTCCAATTGACAAGATTAGGGATGTCAGTGGGGCGGGTCAAGTAGGAGACCCGCCTCATCCCTGCCCCAGTGGGGCGGGAATGGGTCTCGATTTGGTGGGTGGTGGGGCGAGGATGGGGATGAAAACCATACCCGCCATGGGTGATGGGACGGGGGTTGATTTTAGGTTGTACTTGCCCCGCCCCACCCGCCCCATTTCGTACCCACATCTATATATTTTTTTTAAAAAAAATTGTATACTTTAATACTATTTTATATTAAACAAATTTATGTAAAATAAAGTAGTAAATAACTAAATATAATATTTGTAATAAACTTAATATTAACAATGATTTTTATTTTTTTTATTTTTTTTATTTTTTTTTATTTTTTATTGTAATCTATATTAATATATTACGTAATATTGTTGTATTTGGGAGGGGGGTTAGGTGGGGATTAGGTGAAGGTGTATATCCAAGTGGGGGGTGGAGCAAGGATGGTTTTAGAATTGTACTCGTTGGGACGGGGATGAGGATGACTTTTGGACCCGCCACGGGGATGGGGATGAGAATGTTAGGCGGGGATGGGGATGAGAAATCCAACATCCGCCCCACCCCGTTGACATCCCTAGACAAGATCCCACTTGATAGTAATATTCGCATTAGAAATTGAATGATCACCTGCTTCTGAATTGAAAATAACCCATAAAATTTAATCAATAAAGATAAAAAAAAAATGATTTATTTCGATCATCTGTAGCTCAATTTAAGATAAAGTTTGCCCAAGTTACACCGGTGAATGTATCTATGTGGGTATGTAAACAAGATTTGAATATTTGATGCATTATGCAAGTTTTGCCTAGCTAGGTAAGTAGGGGTGGAAAATGAAATGCCTTCAAAACAATAAGCAAAAAGATCATACAACAATAACAGTACAATTAATAACTAGTAGTAAAAAGATAGAGAAGAAATTTAATAAGCTCACCTGCAAGGGCTAAGTTTAAGGAACTGAGAAAGAAAACTAGCAGGAAAAAGCTGAACAACCTCATACTTGTATATCTTATTATTAGTAGGGGTATAAATCTGACCGATACAAAAGTTTGCAAAAAGTCTGTATAATTATACAACTTTTACTTGCACCGGAGAAGCTTACTTTTACGTTCCGAACTCTTCATTTCAGTATGGGGCCTAAGGACGTGTTTAACATTAACTTTTGCAATACTTTTTAGTGCTTTGACTAGCTGGTTATCCGAAAAAGGAACACACATAACGCTGTGGGAAATTGCTCATTTTCCAAAAATGACATATAGCTACTGATTTAATTAATACTCGCATCAGCAGAGTTAATTCCAAAATTAGGAAGGAATAAGACCTGCAAGATCAGGATTTGAGAAACAGAAAAACAGAACAAGGGAAATGCTGAGATACTTCAAAATTTTGAACAAGTACAATTGTACATGACTCAGATCGATACCATGTTTTGCAAGAGGTTTTGTACCTTTGAGATGAAAAACAGAATTACGGAAGGTTGATCAGTCTTTTTTTTTTATGCTATATTTGTATATCTTAATGCTTAGCAGCGCAACTCGGTCGTTATACAGGGTCAGCTTATTAGTATACAAGTATAATGATTTTATTTTTTGTATCATAAGAAATTTGTTAATAATGCAACATGGTTTGACTAACATGTGGACATGTGTGATGTGAATTGTATAGTTAATCCAAAGTCTGGAGTTAGTAAGGACGTATTTAGCAATAGCTTTTGCATTGACCCTTGGTGTTTCGAGTAACTATTTACTTGAAAAAGCAAGACATTAAATTAGCAAATTGCTCATCTTCTCCAAGAAAACGTATAATAGCAAGCTGCTCCATTTTTCATGGGAGATTACATATGTCAAGGAACAACTATAGATTAAAGAAAAAAAAATAAATCCAATCAAGTATATCTTAAATCTTAATGCGTAGCAACTTGTTTGTATATCTAGAATGACTTGATTTTCTGTATCTTGAGAAACTTTTTTATATAGTGCAACAGGGTTTGACTACCATGTGGATGTGACTTGTGTTATCACTCCAAAGTCTGAAGTCAAACAACGTGGGTGTTTTTGAATTTCGGAAAGTGTTATCCTATTTAAACTCAGATTTAACTATTTGTTGAACATTTTTCGATCTAAGAGCTTATCCGACAATAGCTTTTATAATCTTGAAATGGTTTTTGCTTTTTTAGCTACTCCGTAGTATTTTGAATGATCCAAATAGTTAGTAAGGGTGTGTTTAACAATTATTTTGTTGTGATCGATAGTGTTTTGACTAACTATTTTCGCAAAAAAGTTTGAAGTTACATAAGTAAATTGCTCATCCTCTCCAAGTAGACAATATAGCAATTAAGGTGGTTTATTTCCCATATATGAGAGATTACATTACATATACATAAATTAAAAAAAAAAAACTACAAAAAATAAAATAAACCCGAGTAAACATTTATGGACTCGGATGATGCATACATAGTATTTGAGCGGATGATTAAACGGCTAAATCGCGATCGCCGCCTTCACCAGTTGATCTGGGGCATGACTAGGCAAGAAGAAGTCATCAAGTGCACAGTCAATCCTTTCTATCAAGTATAGAATGAACGTACAGCCAACAAAAAGCCAAAGGGTCTGAAAAAAAAAAAAAAAAATTAGTGGAAAAAATATCAGCAAAGGTAATTCCAAAATTAGGAGGGAAGAAGAATGAGCCTGACCTGTAGGAGAAAATAATAAGGAATGGAAAAACAGAACAATGAAAATGCTAAGATACTTCAAACCTTTACAAATGTAGATGACTCTGATTAATGCCATGTTTTGTAAAAAGTTTGAGCCTTTATTTTGAGATGAGATTTATATGTTGAGTTATATATTAGAGTCGGTTTGCTTATATTTGTTAATATTTGTAAAGTTGTGATAAAACTTTGACTTACTTTCTGTTTGGGGTTCAAAATGCTAACAATTTGGCCCAGTCCACAAATGAAAATAGTTAAAGCCCAAATCATAAGGTTCAACCCTCCAATGTATTTGCCAAGTCAACAATAGCAAGGCCCAGTCAAATGGCAGCCCATTTGACTGATCAGGCCCAATCTAATCAATGGACAAAGGTATAAAAGCTTTCATTTCAACACAATTACATTCATTCACATTAAATGCCTCAAGCAACAAATACTCTTGCATAGCTTTTCTCTAATACTTTTGCATCCATACTGACTTCGGCATCGGAGGGGCCTTCCTCGGCACACCCCCCGAGGCTAGTTTACGTTTGCATTGCTGTGCAGGAAATCCTCAATTCAGTTGTCACTTGAATTGGGCCTCGTCTCCACACATCCGAAGGGCCAGCCGAAGGCCCATTGTTTTCTGACCGAAACAATTTGGCGCCGTCTGTGGGGATACTTACAAAAAGTCAGCCAAAAATTTCATTTGAATCTTAGCCAATACTCAAAATGACTAAGAGTGCAAAGAGCTCTAAGAAAGCTAGGAAGACCGGTATTATAACGGTGAGGGCCGGTAGGACACCTTCACCGTCGCCTGAACCGACCGCTTCCAACTCCCCAAGGGGAGAAAATTCACATGAAGGGTCTTCTTCCCAGCGGGATCACCTAAATGGAGACTCGCCGAGGGATAGTGAGGTTCATAAACGTGATCCCTCACCGAGCATGCGCTCAACTCCTCCTACCGGACCATCAACCAAGGAGGTCATGAAAGCCATGGCGGTGTGCATGGAATTCATGCATACTTTAGGGGAACGCTTCCCATCAGTAAAAAAACCGCCCTCTCCCCCTCCTAGATAAAATGATCGAAAGAGGAAGAGTATAACCGAGGGAGAAAAGAAGGCTCCATCCTCAAAAGGGGAAGGTAGCCGAAGGGCTGGGCATCCAGGTGGTTCTGGGCAGAATCAGAGGAGAGGCTCCGGCCACTCCAAAAGTTCCAAAGCTCAGACCTCCGAAGGTCATCATGACAACCACAATGTTTCCCGCCGAAGCGTCCTTGAACGCCTAGGTAGAAAAGGAGGGGTGCATAGTCGCCTCACCTTCCCAGAAGGGTATCATCCTTCTCAGTCACGCGAGGGGACACCCCCTGCATCCATCTCTCTGAGAGGGAGAAGCAGGGTTCCTTCGGTGCGGCAGAAGGGAAAGGCCGTAATGGTTCCAACCAGTTCCCCAATCCAAAGGTGGATTCTGGAGGAACATGTGCCAACGGTTAAAATTCCGGCACACATTACATACGACGGTACTTCGGATCCGAAGGACCACATTGCCTCCTATGAGGGGCATATGTATCTTAACCTCAGGTCCAAAGCTACCTGGTGCAAGTACTTCCCAACGACCCTTAAAGGTGTGGCCCAATCATGGATCACCAAAGGGCTGAAGGAAGGCTCAATAACTGGCTGGAGCGATCTAGCCAATAAGTTCAAGAGCAAGTTTTCCACGGCCAACCGCCGAGAGAAAACTACTGCAGAGCTGATGGGTCTGCAGCAAGCGGAGGACGAAAGTCTCCGAGACTATTTGACTCGCTTCAGCAACGAGTCGTCCAGAATAAAAAGTCTGGACCAAAGCCTGGCCGTATTTGCATTACGGAATGGCTTGCAAGCTGGCAAATTTCTTGATTTCATGGTCATGCATCCCCCGCAGACCCTGGAAGAAGCCCTTGACGCCTCGGATAAATTTATCCGAGCTGAGGAATGGAACAAGGCAAAGTTGCAATCCGAATCAGGGCTTGTGAAGCCAAAAGGGCAGCAGGCCGAAGTTCCAGCGTCAAGGAAAGGGAAGGCAAAAGCCTCAGAACCACCCTTGACCGCCGAGCCGAAGAAGGATAAGGCTCCCTTTCTAGGGAAATTTGAATCTTAAACCCCTCTCACCTTGCCACGTACTAAAATTTTCAGTGCGACGAGGGAGGAGGGAAGATTCAAAAAGCCGAAGCCACCTCCTTCTTGGCATCAAAAGAAGGGGAAGGACCTTTGGTGTGAGTTCCACGAATCCCGTGGACATCGCACCGAAGATTGCCTTCAGCTCAAGGACCAGATAGAGGAGCTGGTCCAAAAAGGATATCTAAAGAAATATGTCGCGGAACGCCGCGAAGAGAAGAAGACCGAGAAAGATTCTCGGCAAGAGCTGGACTATCACCGGAAAAGGGACAGGCCTCCCGAAGGGGGACACAATGACATCCTGACCATTTCCGGCGGCATATCTCGGAACGCACTTAAGCGCCATCTGAGGGGTCTCACCCATCAGATCCATCATGCCGAGTTCCAGAAGCCGCAATCTCCGGTGCCGAACATGACGTTCACATCCGAAGACTGCAGAGGGGTGGTGTACCCCCATGATGACCCATTGGTTATCATGACAAGCATCGCAAACCACAACGTCTATCGGACACTGGTAGACGGTGGTAGCGGGGCGAATATACTTTTTCGAAAGGCATTCGACCAGCTGAAGTTGGAGAGCAAGCATTTGACTCCGGTCCCTTATCCGGTCACTGGATTCAACGACTCTTCTTCATATCCGGATGGGAAAATTCTTCTTCCCGTCAGCCTCGACCAAGACCAGGCGAGACGAAGCATCATGGCCGAATTCTTGGTCATCGACGCCCCGTCAGTTTACAACGTCATCATGGGGAGACCTCTCATCCATGATGTTCAAGGAGTGGTCTCGACATATCATCAGTCAATGATTTATGTCTCAGACGAAGGACGCTCCGAGAAAATACTGGGCAGCCAAAGAGAGGCCCAGGAATGCAACTCCCTCAAGCCATCCAAGAGTCGCCGAAGCGACAAGGATGATGAGGAGGAAAAAGAGATAGAAAAGGAGCGGGGTACCAAAAGGCCGAAGGGCCTAAGTGCTTCAGCTCAGGGATCCCCAAAAAAGAAAGCATCTTTGGGGGCCAAAAAGGCAAGCTCTTCGGAAGAACCGAAAGATTCAGACGAAAGCCAGCCGAAGAAAGGAAGGCCTGCTGAGATTGACAACAGACCCGAACCTGAAGAATCTGGCTCCAAGGCAATGGAGTCAGACGAGCAAACTGAATCAATCCAGTTGACCGAGGGGGATACTGAAAAATGTGTCAACATCGGACAAGGGTTGGATTCGAACCTCCGTGTTGAACTAATCCAACTCCTTCGGGACAACAGAGATGTGTTCGCATTCTCAGCAGCTGACATGTCGGAAATTGATCCGAACCTCATCTCGCACAAGCTTAATGTCGACCCCACATGTCGGCCAATTAAGGAAAAGAAGCGGTACTACTCCGCTCAGAAGAATCAGGACGTCGCAGCCAAAGTCAAGAAACTTCTAGACGCAGGGTTCATTGAGCCCTGCCAATACCCTGAATGGCTGGCGAATGTAGTAATGGTTCAGAAAGCTAATGGCTCCTAGAGAATGTGCGTTGACTTCACGGATCTGAATAGGGCCTATTCGAAGGACTTCTATCCCTTGCCGAGAATTGACCAGCTGGTTGACTCGACAAGTGGCCATGCTCTACTCAGCTTCATGGACGCATTTTCTGGGTACCATCAGATTTTCATGCACCCCGATGACAGAGCAAAAACGGCATTTGTTACAAGCGCCGGGGTGTATAATTACAAAATGATGCCCTTCGGCCTGAAGAACGCCGGGGCTACGTATCAGAGGTTGGTGGACCAAGTGTTTGCCGAACAAAAAGGCCGCAACATGGAGGTCTATGTTGACGATTCCATCGTCAAAAGCAAAGAAGCAAAAGATCATGTTGCGGACCTAGCTGAAACGTTCGCCACCCTGAGACAAAATCAGATGAAGCTGAATCCGAAGAAATGTGTCTTCGGCGTGAGGTCTGGAAAATTTTTAGGTTTCATGGTCAGCAAGAGGGGGATTGATGCCAATCTCGCCAAAGTACAAGCAGCTCTTGATCTTCCCGAGCCGAAGACGAAAAGGGATATCCAGCGCCTTACGGGGAGAATGACCGCTTTGTCCCGATTCATCTCAAAAGCCTCGGACAAAGGTCTGCCCTTCTTCAAGGCGCTTAAATTTTCGAAATCAAAGCAGCTCCGGGAGCACTTGGCAAATCTTCCAACGCTGGCAAGACCAGCTGAAGGGGAAATCTTGTACTTATGCGTAGCAGATAGCCCTACTACGGTGAGTGCGGTGCTGCTGAAGGAAGAGGAAAAAGTTCAGCAACCGATCTACTTCGTCAGTCATACTTTGACTGACGCCGAAACGCGCTACCCTTTGCTCGAAAAAGTCGCATATGCAGTGGTGGTAGCAGCTCGGAAGTTAAGACCTTATTTTGATTCGCATCAGATTGTGGTCCTAACAGATCAACCGGCGGAGAAAGTCCTCGGCAAGGTGGAAAAATCAGGCAGACTAACAAAGTGGGCCTTCGAGCTCACCGAGTTCAGCATAAGCTACCAGCCGAGGGCAGCAATAAAAGCCCAGGCCCTAGCAGACTTCCTAGCCGAATGTTCCTATCAGGAAACACTCGACGAAGGGAAGGGGACTTGGACTGTATTCACGGATGGCTCAGCCACCGTAAATGGCTCGGGAGCTAGGGTGGTAATCACCTCTCCCGAGGGCAAAAACTTCGAGTATGCACTCAAGTTCTCATTTAAGGCTTCTAACAACGAAGCAGAATATGAAGCAGCAGTTGCTGGCTTAGAATTGTGCATAGCTCTCGAAGCCGAACATATCTGTCTGAAGACAGACTCTCATCTAGTCGCTAACCAGATTCGGGGCGAGTATGAGGCCAAAGAACCCTCCATGATCTCCTATCTTGCCAAGATCAAATCAGTTATAGCGAAGCTGAGAACTTTTGAGATCGAGCTGATCCCAAGGGGTCAGAATGCTCAAGCCGATGCACTCTCTAAACTCGCAAGTTCAACTCTTACAGAGCTGAATCGGTCCGTATATGTGGAGGTGCGCCGAAACAGAAGCATCGACCCAGAAGTTGAGGTTCAGTGCGCTGAGGTGGAGCCTAGCTGGATGGACCCCATCTTGGCTTACAAGCTGCAAGGAACGTTGTCCGAGGACAGGAACTTGGCAGCAAAAACGAAAAGGGTAGCCTCAAGGTTCATCGTCTACAAGGGGGAGCTGCTGAAAAAATCCTTTTCAGCCCCACTGCTAAAATGTGTGGGTCCCCCAGATGCGGATTACATCCTTCGGGAGATCCACTTTGGCATCTGTGGAAACCACATTGGGGGGAGGACCCTAGCCCATAAGGCACTACGGGCAGGATACTATTGGCCAACTATGATTCAAGACGCTAAGGACTTGGTGCGGAAATGCGAAAAATGTCAAAAATTTGCACCCGTTATTCACAGGCCTTCAAGGGACCTTCAGCCGATACTGAATCCACTCCCCTTTGCCCAATGGGGGTTAGATATTTTAGGACCATTCCCCGAGGCTCTCTACCAGAAAAAATGGCTGATAGTTGGAATAGACTATTTCAACAAATGGATAGAAGCCGAAGCAGCTTCAAACATAACTGAGCAAACTGTCAGGAAATTCATCTGGCAGAATATCATCACGCGCTTCGGCATCCCAAAAGTGCTCGTCTTCGATCACGGAAGACAATTTGACAATCTGTCGCTGAGGCGGTACACCGACCAGTTCGGCATAAAACTGGCGTACTCAGCAGTCTGCCATCCTCAGAGTAATGGCCAGGCCGAAGCTGCAAATAAACAAATACTCAACGCTCTCAAAAAGAGAGTTGAAGATCAAAATTCCAAGTGGATAGAGGAACTTCCCGGAACTCTATGGTCACTTCGGACAACCGAAAAAGAGGCCACGGGGCATTCACCTTTTGAATTGGTGTATGGGTCCGAAGCCGTTCTACCAGTGGAAATTGGCTCAGAAAGCCTCTGAGTCAATCAGTTCTCAGCCGAAGAAAATGAGCATCTCATGAAAGAATCCCTTGATTTCTTAGATGAGATCCAAGATTCGGCGAGGGATAGAATGGCGGCATACAAACAGAGAATTAGTAAATTCTACAACCGAAGAGTCCAGTCAAGACTCCTTAAAGTTGGGGACTTGGTCCTTCGGAATGCTGCCGCTGTTCAGAAAAGCCGCATCCATGGGAAGCTCTCAGCTAACTGGGAAGGGCCTTATGAAATATATGATGAGCTCCAACCAGGTACTTATCGTCTTCGGCAGTTAGACGGAACTGAGTTGAAAAATCACTGGAACGCAGATGTACTTAGAAAATTTCATGTTTGAAAAACCTGTGTAAGTATATTCCCTTCAGATTAATGAAAGGCGTTCGAGCCACAATTATTCACAATTTTATTCTGCTTCCATTATTTCTGTCCCTGCCGATTCTTGAAAAAACTCAGGGTTTACACCCGGTGCTGTCTGAAGCATTGCATTGTGATGCACTGTGCTTCGGCAAGCCGGAGAACCTGCCAATATGAGTGGTAAATAGAACCTCGAGGTATTGCATGATGATGCACTGTACCTCGGATGGATTTACTGCTCTCGGCAAAGAGGCCATAGGCTCATCTAGGATATAGCCGAAAATAGGAATTGACTGAATGCCCGAAGCATTGCATAGTAATGCCTTGTGCGTCGGCAAGTCAATTCCGGGTGGTGATTACACCTCTGAAGTATTTCATAAATTACGCCTTGCACTTTAGATGATCACTGCCCTGGCATTATGTCTTAATTAGTCGTTCCCTCGGATGAATTAGAATTGACAGGAGCGCAAGGAATAAACATATATGTGCAAGCTATAACAAAGCTTCAGTAGCACTCAGAACCCAGAAGACATCATCTTCAAGGTTCTGGGGGAGCAGAAGGCGCCTACGCGCTGGGTTGCTATCTGAGGCCCTTGGCACTTGAGAAAATTTCATGAAAAGTCAAGTAAAACGGTCAAAGTGTTATCAGCTGAAGAACTCTTAGCCGAAGCTTTGTACTTAGCCAAATTTTGAAAAAATTCAGAAAAATCAGGCAGTCAAATGCAAAGCTGGAAAAACAGGCAGAAAAAGAGGAAATAACTAGAAATTCTATTCATCTACTCACAGAAACTGAAAAATCACAAACATTGAGTACGAGTTACAGAAACCAAATTCAGAAGTTTAAAGCTACAGAAATTCAAAGTCGGCAGCCGCCCACATAGCGGAAAACACAGCTGTCGAAAGTGCACAAAAACAGATAAAAAGTTTGTACAAAGGAAAGCTGAAACAAAAGAACAGGCAAAAGCTGATGCGGCGTTTACAAATTAAGCGCATGTTGATCCGCAGGACTCAGAACGGCTGCCTGAGTTCCTATGCTTCAGCATTCCCTGGAACTCCAGATGGACCAGCCCCAGCTGAAGAGGAGGCAGGACCAGTAGCTTCAGCCTCTTTGGTAGCCTCTTCAGCCTCCTTAGCCTCAGCTTCAGCCTGGCGGACTAGGAAGTCAATCTCAGCCTGGCTAGCCTCGTGGATCCGAGGGTTGTCAGCATCCATTGACTAAGCCTCAACCTGGTCCCAGTTCATGCCAGGAGCAGCATGCAGAGCCAAGCGCTGAGCAGTCTTCCATCCATTCTCAAAACCTTCACCATATTCAGCTTCGGTGTAGACCCTGGTTTTGAGCAGCTCCTTGGCATCCAGCAGCTCGGCCTTTCGAGCTTCCAAATCATCCTTCAGCTTCTGGTTCGCGGCTAGCAGATCATCTTTTTCCTTCTTAGCCTCTTCCCGAACCTGGGCCAGCTGCTGCTCATGGGCAGAGATGAGAAGTTGTTGAGCATCAGCATCTTCCTTGGCCTTGGCCTCAAGCCGAGCCCGGAACTCAGCGAGGGTGTTAGCTCCAAACTCCTTCATAAGAGATTGGCCCTCTTCGAGCCAAGGAAAGACTATCTGCTCCAGGCCTCGGCTGAAGGTGCGGAAGTTCTCTTCCATCCTCCGCATCTCCTGCTTAGCAGCTGAGACATCGTCCTCAGCCTTCGCCTGCTTCATCTCAGCTAGCCGAACCAAAGTCTCAGCCTCTTCGACCTTGGCTGCTTTGCCCTGAAGCTCGTCAAACATTTCCACAGTAAGGAAATGATTGTGCACAGCCTGCAAAACCCAACAATAGCAGATTATACAGTTAGCCGAAGTCCAACACTTGGCTAAAAAAAAAAAAAAAAAAAAAAAAAAAAAAAAAAAAACGCAAGTGTAGGTAGGGTACCTGCATCAGAACCCTTTGGTTCTCCATAAGAGGATGGGGCACGCTTTCCAAGGACTCAGCAGCTCCTGCAGCAGCGCCATGCATCCAGACCTTAGCCCTTTCAATGGCCGAAAGATTGCCCAAATTGCCGAAATAGGAAAGGGCTCACGCCTATCCTCAATAATTTCTCGGGCATGGCTAGGAACAGGGACCAAGGGCGCTGAGCCGAACCCCATCTCAGCTGACTGAAAAGTGCGGAAGGAGGTCGCAGCTGAACTGGAAGGGATGTTCGTATGCGCGGACATTGTAGCGTCATTCAGCTGCGGCTCGCCCTCTTTCTCCGCGACCTTCGGATCCTCATCCTGTATCCCCAACACTTCAACCTCGTGCTGAACCTCTGAGAATGGTTCAGGCACGTGACGAGGAGGCGAGGGGTCAGGCACATCGACCACCTCCATGATAACTTCCCGAGAGGGGGAAGTAACCTCAGCCGCCTCTTCCTGTACCTCTTCTAGCCGAGGCCTTTTTACAGGAAGCTCTGGTGCTCTAAATTGGCCAGGCCGAACCAGAGGCCTTCTTCTTCCACTAGCCATATCCTCGGCAACAGGTTCAGAGGGGGCAGGCTCTTCTTTCTCTACCTCTTCTTCCTCTTCGGACTGCAAAAGCGAAGAAAGAGGGGGCAAGAAGACAAGCAAGAGATCATAGAAGTAAAAAACAAACAAATAACAACACAAGACAATAACAAACAACAAGCAGGCTCAAGGCAGAAGCACACAGATGTTTCAGCTGAAGCCGCATACTTAACAGCTTTGGCAAAATAAAACTATATCAGACAGAGGTGCATCTGAAGAACTACACTTAGCAAAATCTATGTGCGAATTCGAAGAAGGCTACGTGTAACATGCGTGCTCAAAAGCTGAAGCTACGTATCAACATATTCAGAAAAATACTTTGCAAGTCAAACAATCAAAATGCTGAAGTTCTAAACCGAGAAAATCAATAAGTAAAGGACTAACCGAAGGACCGAAAAACTCTTTGGTATCTTCAGACTCCGAATCTTCCTCTCTGATAGGCTTGGATGGAGGAGGCGGTGTCTGTAAGTCACCTCCTTCAGCAGCAGCAGCAGCAACAGCAGCAGCTTCCTCTTCAGCGGAGAGTAGGAAGAAAGGGTCGATCTTCTTATACCAAGGCTTCTGCGCCAGATACTCAAAGGCACTGACCACCTCGAGCTTCCTCGGCTGCAACGTCAGTGGCCGATCCTTCACAGCTGTGATGGGAGGAGTGTTGGTGATCGACACTCTGGTCTGGATGATCCCCAGAAGGTCGTAGTCAATGCTAGAAGTCTCTTCGCAGATAGCTGAAAAAATATTAGAGCAAAACGTTAGCTTCAAGCAAAAAGGCTTCGGATCACGAAAACTTAAAAGACAGGAAATAAATGCCTCGGCCCCAGCCGAATCACTTACCACCTTGGTATCTTTGGCTGAGGCCAGCAACGGGTAACATCTTCTCTTGGAAGATGTAATGGTAGCAGGGCAGCCAGACGGTAGGCACAATTGTCATTCGGCCTGTTGCACCAGGGTTCATGGATCTGCCAAATAACTCCATCTGCATGCGATCCAGCTCGGTGAAATCATCATCGCCGATGCTCGACATAGATGGGTCTGGCTTCCGGACATAGCGAGGCCCCCCGAAATAATTAAAGTGGCCCTCATCCGAAGGAGCTCGCACCCAGATCCACTGCTCCCTCCAATGTTTATCCGAGGTGTCGTTCTGATAGCAGGTCAGGTAACCCCTTTCATCTTCTATGTGCCACCAACCTCGGCCATGTATTCTGCTGGACTGGGTATTCGGCAACAGCTTGTGAATGCACCGAAAGCAGTGGACGCTTGGCTGCAGCCCGTAGAAGATGCACACCCAAAGATAGGTCATGATCCTCTTGATGCTGACAGGGGTTAACTGGGCCAATGAAATATTGTACCCATTCAGAACTTTGATTACAAAGGGGTGCACTGGGAACCGCAGCCCGAACTGCAGCTGGCCGATAGATTCTCTCTAGTACCGTGGGCATTTGGCACCAATACCCATCGGCTTCCATTATGCCATAATAAACCTCCAGCTGCTCGGCAAAATGGTACCGAGCATCATTTACTAGCCACCATTCGGCTGGCTCGGTCTTCAGCAAACCGTCGTTCTCGTATTCATCGGTCCATTCCCTCTCTTCAGGGGTTAGGGGTCGAGATCTGGTAGGACCCCTTTGGCCAGAAGTACTTGCTTCGGCTGGCTCTCTAGGAGGGGCACTGTTTAGCGGAATCACCCTTAATCCTTCCCCGCTCGAGGATGAACCAACCTCAATCCGGGCGTTAGGGTTTCGGCCGCTCAAAAACGGCATAACAGGCAGAGGACGGTTCCTCTTTAGAATTAGTTGCGGCACCTCTTCCTCAATGTCCTCATCTTCAGGCTCCATTGGCCTTTTACCAGGGTTGTCGGCCATTTCTAGGTCGACGGCGACGCGAAAAAAGTAGGAAAAAGGGGAAAAGCTTAAAAAAAGAGAAAATCCGAATGAAATTCGGAGAAAATTACCTTATCTGACTCGGAATTCGTTGATTTAGTGGTTCGGAGCAACGAATTCTGCTGAAAAGCTTCGGAAAAGGCGGAAATTGGTGAAAGAGAAGAATAGCTCGCGCGAGTTCGCTGGAAAAGTGAGAGTAAAATGCAAAGAGTGTTTGATTTGGGAATGCCGGAAATAATTATGCGAAATGCAAATTATATACTTGGCGCAAAAACCCACTCACTTAATGTCAGTTGCAAACTCTTCAAATTCTCCTCAAACCAATTGCAAAACTGCCTGGATTTAATTTCCCACTAAATCCACTCCACTTCCCCACTATCATTAGTTAACCGTCATTAAGGTTAATTAATCACCATTAACGGTTATATTAACCGTATTGAATTATCAAAAATATTTAAATTATTTTCATTTATTTCCCTCCAAATCCTTCAGCTGCTGAAACCTGACCCGTTATCCTCACGAATCGGGTCTGGGGGGCAAGTTGTTTGGGGTCCAAAATACTAACAATTTGGCCCAGTCCACAAATGAAAATAGTTAAAGCCCAAATAATAAGGTTCAACCCTTCAATACATTTGCCAAGTCAACAATAGCAAGGCCCAGTCAAATGGCAGCCCATTTGACTGTTCAAGCCCAATCTAATTAATAGATAAAGGTATAAAAGCTTTCATTTCAACACAATTACATTCATTCACATTAAATGCCTCAAGCAACAAATACTCTTGCATAGCTTTTCTCTAATACTTTTGCATCCATACTGACTTCGACATCGGAGGGGCCTTCCTCGGCACACCCCCCGAGGCTAGTTTACGTTTGCATTGCTGTGCAGGAAATCCCCAATTCAGTTGTCACTTGAATTGGGCCTCGTCTCCACATATCCAAAGGGCCAGCCAAAGGCCCATTGTTTTCTGACCGAAACACTTTCATTCATTCATCCGTGGAATATGTATAATACAATATGCTTAGTTTCCTAAGCCTCACCAAACCATGTACAGCTAGCAAGCTAAAGATAATTATGGCAAAATATATCCTAGGCACACTAAATATTCACCAAAACAAATATGCTCCCAAATATTTCCTATATATATCTCAATAATATTGTATCTTTTTCAAGTTTATCTTGTTAGGAGTTTTAGGCAAGTTATGTATTGTGTATATACATGTGATTAATAGCCGTTTTCTCCAATCTTTCTTTACTTTAACATGGTATCAGGCTAAGTTACCGAAGTATTTTAGGGGTGAGTGTGTCATGACTGGGGTTTATTTGATTAATAGAACTTCTACTCCGGTGCTTGAAGGAAAAACGCCACATAAATGCTTATTTGGGAAAAAACCTTCATATGATAGTCTTCGGATTTTTGGGTGTTTGTGCTATGCTGCAAATCGTCCGCGTATCAAGGACAAGTTTGATTCCCGTTCTCGGAAATGTATTTTTGTCGGCTATCCATACGGCAAAAAAGGTTGGCGTCTCCATGACTTAGATTCTCATGATTTTTTTGTTAGTCGGGATGTTCGGTTCTTTGAGGATCAATTTCCTTACCTTGTAATCACTTCCGGATGACCAAAGATTGCAATGGGAAGGTATTTTGCCAACCCCCCTTTGTGGGATGATGATGATAGTGATTTTAGGCCGAATAGTGTGCAAATGGGGGTGCAACGACCGAGTAAGCACGCACTGCAGCCAGGCCGCGAGAGCAGGTGCCTGGCTGCGGACCGTACTGCCCAGCAACAAGAGCAGCCCCCCCCCATCAGGTTACTCCACAGCCAGGCCGCGGGAGACAGCTCCCAACCGCAGCCAGGTTGCGGACTGCTCTGCTCAGCAATGCTCACCCTCGGCTAGCAGCACTTGCGAGCAGCAACATACGGTGGTTTAGCTGGCGCAGGTGGCTTGACCTACCGGGGCAGCTTCCGGTAAGCTCCGAACAGCCACGCAACGACAGTTCTCGCTCCGGTGTGGTTGGTGAGCGGGAAATTGTGGAGGAAGATATACAAATTTCCCCCTTAGTTCGAGGGGGAGTTCGATGGAAAGTTTGGGTCGTGGTCATCGTGAAAAACGACCTCCTTCATAGCACAGTCATTATGTCACTAATACCGTCATCACAGAAAATATAGACCCCGCTACATCAATTGTCGTCCCTCCTCAATCTCGTTCTTCAGGTAAACCTTTCCCTATAGCTTGTCATGTTGCATATTATCGTTTTTCTATGAGACACAAGTGTTTTCTGGCGACAATCACTAAGGGAAAGAAACTGTCTACGTTTAAAGAGGCGGTTAAAGACGTCGGTTGGCGTAAGGCGATGCAAGATGAGATTGATCCTCTAGAGCGCAATGGCACATGGACCGTGGAGGATCTTCCTCCCGGAAAACGAGCAATTGATAGTGATTGGGTGTATAAAATCAAGTACATCGACAAGTCAAAGGTGGAACGACACTAGGCTCGTTTGGTTGGTCATGGAAATCGACAGGTTTTCGGTATTGATTATAATGAGACGTTTGCTCCTGTTGCAAAGATGGGTATGGTACGTCTTTTTCTTGTTGTTGCTGTATCTTTGAATTGGGAGTTACATCAGATGAATATTCATAATGCATTTCTTCATGGTGATTTGGATGAAGAGGTGTATATGCAGTTTCCTCCAGGGTACGGTACTCCGGTACCTAGAAAAGTTTGCAGGTTGCGAAAGTCTTTATACGGCTTGAAACAAGCCCTGAGACAGTGGTTTTCGAAGTTGTCTAGTGCTCTCTATGAGGTTTTGGGTTTCAAAACTCATATGCTGATTACTCTTTGTTTAGCTACATACAGGGCAGTGTCTCTTTGCATGTTCTTGTTTATGTCGATGATTTGATTATTGCAGGCTCTTCTCATGATGTTATTGTTCGGTTTAAGGCCTATTTGTGCAAATGCTTATATATGAAGGATTTGAGTGTGCTTAAGTATTTCTTAGGCATTGAGGTTGCTCGTAGTCCGGAGGATATCTTTCTGTCTCAACGAAAATACGCTTTGGATATTTTGACTGAGACAGGTATGTTGGGTTGCAAACCATTGACACTCCGATAGAGCAGAATCATTGTCTTGCACATGCTTCCGGTGAGCCGTTCGCTCAACCGGAACAGTATCATCGGTTGGTTGGACGATTGGTATATTTGTCGGTCACTCGACCAGAGTTGAGTTATTCGGTGCATGTTTTGGCATAGTTTTTGAGTGATTTGCAGGTTTCTCATTGGGATGTGGCTATTCGTGTCTTACGCTACCTTAAGGGTAGTCCGGGACAAGACATCTTGTTGCGACCTATGAAGGATTTACGCTTGACGGCGCTTTGTGACAATGATTGGGCGGCGTGTCCTTTGACTCGGCGTTCCTTGTCAGGTTATTTTGGTGTTCTTAGGTCGTTCCCCTGTTTCTTGGAAGACTAAGAAACAACCCACCGTATCTCGATCCTCGGTTAAAGCCGAATACCGGTCTATGGCAATCACTACTTGTGAGTTGAAATGGTTGAAGCAGTTGTTGTTAGCTCTTGGTGTTAATCATTCAAAATCTATGCAGTTGTTTTGTGATAGTCAGTCGGCCCTGCATATAGCTAAGAATTTGGTGTTTCATGATCGTACGAAGCATATTGAGGTAGATTGTCATTTTGTTCGTGATAAGTTGTTGAATGGTAATATTTCTACTTCATATGTTTTGACTAATCATCAGTTGGCAGATATTCTTACCAAGGCTCTTGGACGACAACAATTAGGTTTTTTGTTGCGCAAGTTGGGCATTCGTGATTTGCATGCTCCAACTTGAGGGGGAGTATTATAGTCGGTTTGGTTATATTTGTTAATATTGTATCTTCGTCAAGTTTATCTTGTTAGGAGTTTTAGGCAAGTTATGTATTGTGTATATATATGTGATTAATATCAATATAAAAGGTTAAGCCGTTTTCTCCAATCTTTCTCCACTTTAACATTATACTTGTACTCCTATATCTTTATGCACAGCAACTTGGCTGTAAATAATTACTAATATTACCCAAGGTCAGCTTAGTATTGTTAAATTAATAATTAGAATGATTTGATTTTTTGTATCTTGAGAAATATTGTTGTGTAATGCAACAAGGTTTAGTTTACTATGTGGGACATGTGTGATGTACTGATGTACATACTGATGTGAATTGTGTATGTTATTACTCTATAGTTGAAATCAAATGACTTCGGTGATGTTTCTGATCTGAATTTCGAAAAGAGTTATGCTATTTACTCGTGTATGTTTAGCTATTTTTTGTAGAACAGTTCATGATCTAATTAAGGACTTGTTCGGCAATAATTAAGGGCTTGGTTGACATTATTTTTTGTTTTCAATTTTTTTTTTAAATAAAAAACCAAAAACATGAAACAAGAAAAAAAGGTGTTTCCACTTTTCTGTTGTCAGTTTTCATAATTATCATAATTTTAATACGTTTGTCTAATTTCTATTTCATTATATGACATATATCATATGAGTTTGAAAACCAAAAAACCAAAAAATAGAAAACCACAGCGATGCCAAACAAACCCTAAGCTTTTGTAAATTTGCAATAATGGATTTAGCTAGGTTTAACTAATGATAATCCAGTTACTATCACTTGATCGGTTAAGTACTATTGTCCATTGAAAGTATGGATGGATAACTCAAGCTCTCTTCAATGATGGCTACTATGAGTAGAAGTTTCTACAACGATAACAAATTAAACTCAGACAGGATATCTTGAATACAGAGTAACATACAACTTTAGCCAAACTAGACTATGACATTTCAAAAAGGGTATGGAGCTTTATTAAAATTAAAAGCCATACCATCCAACTGTGAACTTTAATTTATAAGATAAAAGGAAATGGAGCATCACACATCACAATTATTACAAGCTTATATTAGCATTAAGAATTTAAGATACACAACATCTGGCACGAATAACATCTTTGATTACATTTTTCAAAATGGAAAAAACAAAAAAAATAATTTGAACTTAGTGGCAATCTGATATGATTAGGGAGAGTATGTACTCCGATCCATCCACGAGGCCAGGGAGCAGGGCTAGTTGTCGTGCTTGATCTTCTCTAAAACCCGACTTGTGCAGGAGATTTCCGGGCACCAGAATATACGCACGTAACATTCCAAGTCACTGTAAATTGTTGACAAAGATGTAAATAATAAGCCTCAATAACAAAAAAAGAAAGAAAAGTAGAATGATTAGTGCATGACAAATAAGCCTTACTTATAGCTCGAGTAACTCTCCTCTTATCCGCCGTAATAAACCGAGTAGGCTTAACTATCTTAGCAGGTCCGCAGCTATAACCATCTCCTGGTGCCTTGAATGTGAAATTTTTGGGCAATTTGACAGTTTGATCGGAAGTGCCTTCTTGTCCCACTGAGATTTGGAAAGCACTCTTCGAACGAGCTTGATCATGTCCGGACCATGGAGAGAGCACCCCTCCTCGACAACAATCTTCAATTTGTTGGTTGTAAGGAGTTCCAGGCATCAAGTCTACTATAGTGGGGCTCTTTACACAACTATGTGGGATGTTTCCTTTAAAATGTGAGCAATCACCTTGGTATGTTGCTCGACCTCCTGTCATAGCCCATATTATCTCCTGTTTTGCCCACGTCCACCCTAATCTCCATCCTGGTGCTCGAATGCTACGATTCGTTTGGAAGTTGTAGATTGTAACGACACCCTACAGCAAGAGAATAAAGGGTTATTTGATTTAAATCAATCTCTCACAGACCACAGTATAGTGAATGTCACATATATATAAGTTCAGATGGACGCAACGCCACCCCATCGATCAATCAACGATATATATGGCACAATACAAGTATTAAGTAAAGCATTTGGTAAGAATTACTTACAACATAGCCATCAGGAGTCCAGCTTAAAACATCCCACTTGATTGTGATATTTCCATTTGAACCATTATTAGCCGCTTCTAAAAATTACCAATCAGTATTTTGATCGATACAAGATATAAAATCACTTCAAAATTTCCATATTAGACAATTCAATTCAGAAAAATAAATGTTGATTATAGCAAAAACAAAACAAGTATTTCCAAATTTAGGAGCTAATGCTAATGCAAGTAAAAGTGAGCGAGCTAACCTGTAGTGATGAAGTTTGAGAGATAGAGGAAGAACACAAGAAAACTCAAAAACCTGAACATGGGCATGATCTGAATTTGATAGATAATTATTTTTGTGTCACTTTCAATTGAGTGTTAATTATTGCGCAAGTTGAAGGAACCAAATGATATTAGTATATTACGGAGTATTAAATAGGTCCAAAAAAAATGATACGAAGTGGAGTATTATTTTCCAAGTTTGAAGTCAACGATCAACCAGCCAATATGCGTTGATTATTCTCCTGTTAAGAGTGTTAAGGCAACTACTCTTATTTCAAAGTTTGAAGTCAACCAGCTATTGAGCTTAATGTCTTTGACCAATTTCATATATGTACAGTATAGTACTATGAATCTATTATGAAAATAAATAGTGACTTGCTAAGGCATTAGATAAAAGTTTTTTCTAATCATCTCAACTTTTTTTTTTCAAGTGTTAAAGTAAAATGACTAGAATCGGGCACATTAATTCCTCCAAAACCAAAAAAGTTAGACATATAATATAGCTAAAACGAGTTCATTGCTATGGTGACCGGACACGAGACATATGCTAATTAGTCATATACAATTAAAAATTCTTATATGCACACGTAAAAACTTTTTATTAAGTAATGTTTTTTTTTTGCCATTTCAAAATCTTTTAAACAAGGAAAATAATCAAGTGACCAAAAAAACCTCTTAAATGCATCTAACCTTACACCCCCAACAAACGTCAGCACGACACGAAATTACTAGGTTGAGACTAGGCGAAGACGGCTAGACCATCATGCACCATCGACTCGTGGGGACGCATGGTGATGCCCAGCCTAGTTTTAGGAATGAGGACGTTTTTCTGACGTGCTAAACCACGTTTTCCCTCAATTTAGTAATCCCAATAATTTCCTCGTGAACAAACAAACTGTTCTTAAAAAAATAAGAGAAATAAAAAGAGCAAAGAATACAACAATTTTTCTTCATTTCTTGAATTTTGATTTGGGTGGAAGTTTGCACTTTACTTCATCAAATCAAACTCATTCATTGGTTCAGATTCCCAATTTTATTTGAGATTTTGATTAATTTCCCCCTTTTTTCAGCTTATCTTCTGATTTTAGGGTTCTTTGATTTTTTTGTTCTTTAATTCAATTTTGCTCTCTCTTCAAATGGGTTCGTCTGGTGCTCGAACTCCGGCATTCGGACAAACAGAGATTAATTGGGATAAGTAAGTGTTTCATTTATCATTTTCTTGATTATGTCAAATTTCCTCAATTAATGTTCATAAACTCGAGATTTCTTGAGCTTTTAATTTGCAATTTTAATGTTGCTGGATAATTTATAACCTTAATTTCTTATATTAATTTCACTCACTTGATTAAAAGTATTTGGAGTAGAATTTTGCTGAAATTGAACATTTGATGACAAACCTTTGTATATTTGGTGAATCTTAGATATTTTAGTTCTTTAATTTTTCATGGATATGTAACTATACTGTTAAACATTTAAGTTATCTGGTATTTTATAGCTTAATCTGGGTAAATTTAGGCAAATTCTTGATGATAGATGCTGTTTTAGTAAACCATGGAAATCTATGTGTAATGGAGCATTGCCCGTCTCTGAGGCGAGAAATTGAGATATGTTATTGTTTTAGAGTTTCGGATGAGTTTCTTGAAAGAATTAATCAGTAGAAAATCAGAGGCTACTATATGAACTGATATATCTGTTTTTCTTGTTTACTTGATAAGCTAAATTTGTACTTCGTATTAGTTTACAAATACGATTAATCATACAAGATATCATTATCTTAGGATGGATGAGAAAAGAAATAGAGATGGTAGCTGAAATGGGATAGAATAGTGTATGTTAGTTTGGTAATTCTGAAGTTGATTGTGCAACTATCCAAGGAGTTTCGGCTGCTACTTTGTTGGATTTACCATGTTTTTTTTTTTTTTTTTTTTTTTTTTTTTAATGGGTCTTCTTGGAGACAGTTGATGATTATGATTCATTGTCTCTGTTCCGACCTTTGGCAATGGAGGGTTGTACTTTTGAAAGGTTGATATTCAGTCCATAAGTACTTCGTATGTAGTAATGCTTCACGACCCATCGATTGCTTTCATTGCTAAAATAAGATTAATCTCATTTGCCTGTTTCATTTTAAAATTACTGATCTCAGCTCACATGTTGTTTCCTCCTGGATGATTTTGAAATAATGTTTAAAGCATAAAGTGTCTGGTAACTGTTATAATGATTGGGAGGCTTTATTAGGCTTTGAGTTGGTATTTAATTTGTGCTACGTGGACACATTCCTCAAAGTGGGAGCGCTTCTTGAATTTGATGTACTCTCTTTGTTTAAATATGGTTTTAACAAGTTACAATGGTACGTCACTCCACTCCCTTAAAAATCTTTTGTCGTGAGGGTGTTCATTGGAATATTGGGATTTTATACGCAGTACAAGTTTATCAGCACGGAACTTGACTTTACTGGGGAAGTCATAGTCACTTGGTGTAATCCTATAAACAAGTATGTAAGAGTACTAGAATAGTGCTCTTGTACAACCTCTTATGATGTCTGCAATATCGGCCAATAGGATTCAAAGGATATTCTAGTTCAATACTTGTGTCATAATTTCACATTTCTATATTTTCACTTTTTCAGACATTATTCTTCATTTATGCTGCCTCAACTAAAGAAACAGTACCTCTGGCCTTTACTAGTGATGTACATAATAGGATACCTTCTTCATTAATACATATCATGTTGCTTGACCTTTTCCTGAATGTTTTTAACAAGCCGCATTTTGACGACGATTAGAAATCCTACAACTTTATTGAAGCCTCTTATACAAAAGATCTTCACCCTTGTTTTTTATTCTTTATTATATAAATATTGAGTATTATTTGGTCTGATTACATTAAGTCATTTTGAAAGATTCTTATGTCTTTCTAAGATATTTATTGCATTGATTTGATTGTATTGGAATGTATCTATCCTTTTGGACAATAGTTACAGTAGCTTTCTTCTTCACCCTGTTAAATGTCTAAGCAGTTGTATTTTAAAATTTTGCTTTTTATAATTCTTTGCAGACTTGACAAGACAAAATTCTATGTTGTTGGAGCTGGGCTTTTTACGGGAATTACAGTGGCACTTTATCCAGTTTCTGTTGTTAAGACTAGGCTACAGGTTGCTTCCAAGGATATTACTGAGAAAAGTGCATTTTCAGTTGCCAAAGGCATATTGAAAGCTGATGGTGTACCTGGTTTGTATAGAGGTTTTGGTACTGTCATCACTGGTGCAGTTCCGGCCCGGATTATATTTCTTACTGCTCTAGAGACTACTAAAGTGGCGGCATTTCGGATGGTTGAACCACTTAAATTGTCTGAACCATCACAGGCAGCAATAGCAAATGGTATTGCTGGCATGGTTGGTTCACTTTCAGCACAGGCTGTGTTTGTTCCAGTCGACGTGGTATGTATCTGTTTTGAGTAGTTGAAACTAAGCTTGAATATAAATTTGGGTATGTTCTATTATAGTATCATTGTAATTGAACAAGTACCTATAATTAGGTCAATTTTGTGATGTCTCTGTCAACAAGTTTGTGTGTTTTGACTGTGGCATGTCTACTTTGTGAGTATCTACTTTTGTGACAGACATTATGGAGTCAAACTTACTTATCATCCTAGTCACTTAGAATCCAAAATTACTTGTGTGATCTTTTGCTTTGATGAATATGCTCTTCTTTGTTGTCCTGTCAGTTCTCAGTTATTTAGAAAGGCTATGCTTATGTGCTTTTCATAGAAAGTTGCCATTATTTATTGACTTCTCGTGGCCAAACTTCTGTTGCTTTTTTCATTTGATAAACACTTTTATTGAAAGAAACTTAATTGTTAACTTTTACCTGATTCACAATGACTATACACCTTGACCCTTTGTTTTTTCTTCCTATCTTTGAAAATTAGGTTAGCCAGAAGTTGATGGTACAAGGATATTCGGGTTATGCAACATATAATGGGGGCCTTGATGTTGTTCGCAAGGTTGTTAAATCAGATGGTGTTCGGGGACTGTATAGGGGGTTTGGTCTATCAGTGATGACATATGCCCCTTCCAGTGCTGTATGGTGGGCCAGTTACGGCTCTAGTCAACGTTTATTTTGGAGGTAAGGTATAAATCTCTATAGAGTTTAATTCTGAATTAAGGCGTAGTGATAATTTGTGTTTTATTGAGACTGCAGTTGCTGTATCAATATAGTGAAAGTGTGAAACTTTGCTATATGTTAGAAGTCTTAGAACTGAGGTCTGAGGAGTCACTTAGTTTAATTTGTGCTGTTCTCAAGTGGTCATTATGAAGATGTGTTCTTAAGGAGGTAAGAGTGTCAGTATTGTTATGTGTCATATATTGTACCGATCATAAAACATTGTAGTTCTGTCTTTTTTTTTTTTTTTTTTTTTTTTTTTTTTTTTTTTTTTTTTTTGGGGGTTTAAATGCTTTGTATATGTTCAGCCTTCTAGGAGATGGAACTGAGCAGCAAGAGGTTCCTAGTCTAGGGAAAATTGTGTCTATTCAAGCTGCTGGGGGTGTTGTTGCTGGTGCCACGGCATCTTGCATCACAACTCCGCTAGACACCATTAAGACTCGTTTACAGGTAAAAGAAAATTCTGCTTTATATCTCAGTGCTATTATGTTGTTTTAGTAGATGTGTTTGCTGCTTGTGTGCATATCTCTATTGTAGGTAATTCATGCTTATTATAAATTTTGATATAGAAATTAAGGGGATGGTATTGAAATTAGCTTAATGTCATGTGAATATCCAAGGTATTGGATATCTATTAGCAATCTTTGCTTTCTTCATTTTTTCAATTATTCTCTTTGTACTGAAAAGTTTTTCATTTTTTATTGTTTAATATGAACCAACAGTGTAAGAACTAAATTCGGACAAAGACAATATCTCCAACAAATATGCTGATAGGAGTGTGTTAATTAATTAAGAAAATTTTTATTGTATTGGAGTTGCATTCATGGAAGTGATGGAACATTGTGGAAGAAGTCCCTTGTATGGTGAACATGGGACAAAATCTCTTGTCCACCTTTGAAAGATATGGTGAGAGGACCCTTTGGTTTCTTCAATCTTGGTAGTCTTCTGGGGCAATATATTTATGGTGCAAGTATATCACTAATGCCTGTGAGGTATCTCTTCTCAATTGAAAAATGAGTAAGTTAACCATAGCCTATTGAATTCTGAATGAAGCCTCCTAATGGTGACTTTTGAATACCTTGACTTTCGAGAACTAAGATTATGTTGATCCCTTGCAAAAATGATTTTGTTTTGATTGCTATTACCCACTCTTGGGAAAGCTTCCTAGATCATCTTACTAGTCAACTAGTGTCAAATGAAAATTTTAGTTCTTCTTAGACAATGATCTGGAAGTAGAAGGGATATATCATCTGTGGCTTGTAAAATAGGAGATAATACCCATAATCATGATTGATTGTTTAGCAAATGACGTAATTAATGTAGGAGATCTTGTCTAAATATGGGTGAAACTTTTGGTAGAAAATGGAGGAAAGTCTCCCTTTACATTTTTAGGTTCATTGAGTAGTAATCCCTCAAAGAGGGGAGGGGACTTATGCCACTTGTGTGCCTTTAAGCAGTGACCACTGTTAATGCTTGTGCCTCCACTTAGGTCGGCTTGCTGCTGCATCACCCCTTAAGTTGGCTTAATTTTGCATTGCTCCATATGACTTTGCTTGGAGTCCTGGTTCAGTCTATGACTACAAGTTCATGGGCATGGTCACTTTGGTGCTGAGTGGTTATTGATAGGAACTTGCCTTGCCAATCCAGTCTGTTGCCATGGTTGACCTTGGTGTATCGGTATGTGATGCCTTGTGAACTGTGCTTGGCTTGTTGGGTGATTGGGCAAGGCATGTTCCTTGCTTTCAAAAGAGTCTATTCATTGAGTTCTCTAGGAGCAGATCAAAATAGTTCCAACATAGCTGTTAGAAAATTATTAGGGAAGGGAGAAGTAGGAGGATGCTTTACTGGCAAGGGGATTGTAATCCACCCATCTAGTCTTGGCTCGCTTCCACTCATTTACCCAGGAATCTTTTTGGATATGTATATGTTGCGATTCTGATCATCTGAAAATTTGTCACATTGCAGGTAATGGGACTAGATAAGAGACAGAATGCTGTTCAAGTTGTAAAGAAATTGATTGCAGATGATGGTTGGAAAGGTCTTTATAGAGGACTAGGTCCAAGATTTTTCAGCATGTCCGCTTGGGGAACCTCCATGATACTGGCTTATGAATATCTGAGTATGGATTCTTCTCTTACAGCAGTTCCTTCTTTGTTGTCACAGTTTTGATTTGTCCAATAGAATTGAACACAATTCCTGTAATTTTGTGCAGAGCGGCTGTGTGCAAAGGAGGACTAGATTCACATGACAGCACATTTGCTGACCATTTCATTGCTATGAAAGATTTAGCTTACTCAAAGTGGCTATAAGATTTTACTCACCCTTGGCTTTTTTTAATTGCCCATTCTTTTATCAACTACGTCAACATTTACAAGAAACTTTTTGCAACTTGGTTTCATGACTTAAGTATCCAGCCTTTGATAATCGCGCAATGAAGATTGGTTACACTTACTGAATTAGCAAGTTGTATTTAGCTGAACGTTCCTGTTACTCATAACCAGTGAGAATGTCCGTTTACCAGGCATGGTTTTACAATACCAGTGAAGTTTTTTGTACGCATAGATTAGAAAGTTGCAGGAAGGAGTCATTATTTTCTGTATATCTTAATGACCACAAATCATAGAAGTCATGAGCTTACACCCACAAGGGTGATAGTGAAAAATTCTTTAAACTTCAAAGTAACTGTTACAAGGAAGATGTAGCTTTTCTGTGATATTCATTCCTTCTTTCAGAATGCTTACAGATAATAATGTGAAGTTATTTTAGCATACTTTGTTCTTTTTCTTTTTGGACTCTGTCTGTGCAATATTGTAAATCAGCTACAGCCTACAGATACTAGTCTAAACACTTAGGATGAGGGCCAGCATTATCGAGTTTGTGTTTTGCGAGGAGGAAATTTTTTTCTACCTGAATGCCATGAATCTATACCCCTTTGTCATGGTTGAAAACTTGAAATCACTACTTGTATCCCCGAATTTATTAAGCCATGGGTGAGCGGCAGGTTTTACCACGTTTGACTTTTTGGGGCAGTTACGGTGTATTTGGATTGAAGGAAATAGAGGGAAAAGAAGGAAGGGAAATGGAGAGATGGGATATCTTTTATTTGGATAACAAATGAGGAAGGGAATTGGAGGGGAGAGAACTGGAGGGATTAAATTGTAGGAAAATGATCCCTCCAACAATGGAGAGATTTGGAAAAAAAACTCACCATTCCTCCCCTCTTCTTTTCTTTCCCCTTTCTTTATCCAAACAAACTGTTAAAGAAATCTTGATACAAAAATCAACATGATTATTGATCAATTCCAATTGCATTATAAGTGCAATATCCACAATACAATCTGCGTTTGGCAGCGAGTAGAGGAAAAGAGGCTCGTCAACATACCCAAGGCTAAGCAGGACACGAGTAGCAAGGTTAAATTTTTGTTCGGCAACATCTAATAGTAGAGGAACAAGACATTTTGATATGATACATTAGGTACATTCATAAAGTACATGAACTATATGCTGTCAATTCGAGAGAAGTGGGAGAGGGTATAGACCGGTCAAGCTCTTTTGTCACAGCAGATATGTCTGAACTTCTTAAACATTCTGGCTTTTACTTGGCAAACACAGGTAGAGAGCCAGATGTGGCATCAATGTCTCTGTTGTGTGCTTGACTATGGTTTAGTCAGGCAAAAGAATGGCAAGAAAGACTATAACTCATTGTTCCATCATTAACAGTGACACTGTCAAAATTTCTCACATGGCGAAAAACCACTCCAGATTCGATATTAAAAATACACTAGCCAATGGCTTAGTTACAGATCTTGACATCATCTTCACCATATTCACCATCACCATTATCTTCGTCATCTCTGCTAAATTCCGCATATTCATCTAGTGATACAGCAGAGAACAATTCCTCAACTTTCCCATCCTGAACGGCTGGGGTTTTGTCTTGCCCTTTGGGTTTATCCTTGTTCATCTGTTGCAATAAGTTGGCAAATTTAATGACTCAATGAAACATACAAATTGAGCAACACCAGCACTGATGTAACAATAATATAAAGTAAAAACATCCATCAGTAATCAGCATAGACAGTAGCCGCCCCAAACAAGGTTGAAAAACTAATAACATGGGATAAGCTTGAATACTTGATACAGTACATTGTTCTCCCATATTGTTTACCAGAAAACCTTTTTGACCAAGGTCTTAAGCACTTAGCCGTGAATATATATAGATTTTTGGCAGGATTAGGGAACTTGAAAACCAATGTCATAATAGCAATATACCTGTATGTTATTTGTAATATTACTACCTCCCATCCCCATATATTCGTATCTTATAGGAATCAATAAAGGTATACAACTATACAAGTAGATAGCAAGCAAAGTCAAAAGCTAAATGCATAAGTTCCACTAATATTATTCAAAAATATGAAGATTATGTTTCTAAACAGGGTGCTCTCAACTTAATCAACAAATTCAAACACAAATACATTAAGTTCAAGTAAGTCAAATTCATCTGAAAAGAACACAACCTATGACAGTAATCACAGTATCACCATCGTTTCATGCCGTAACGGCCAGGCTGCTAAGAGTTACATAAAGGGCTTGGGTTTCAATCTATACTCAACAAGTTTATAGTGTTATTACAGTTCTAAGCATTTGCTTTCCTTGTTGCTTAAATCCATCTTTTCTCAAACAGATGCCAGTTCTCAGCTACATTTGTCAATTTGTTGCTAGAGGTTTATAAGATAGTTGAGCAGTATGGTAAATTACAGTAGCAATTACCCAGGGTAATAGGCAGGCACAGTTACCGACTTACCGCCAGTCTCACCATCGACGATCACAAAAGTTCTAGGACAGCCAAGTTCAAATTATACAGTCAAGCTAGCTTTTATATCATTAGGCTCATCCATACACTGGAGAAACGTTAGTGAAGGGGGTAGGCGGGAGTTCAAAATAGGCAAGTTTCCTAACTATTACCGTATAAAGTACAAAATGACTGCAAAAATAATAGGCAAAACAGCAAAAGAAACAGAATGCTGATGACTTACAGATCGCAATAATGTCCTCCTATCCCTCTTGCGAGCATTCTTTATAGCCTGCATTATGACATAGAGTTCCAAACTATCAGATATCAAACCAAAAAAAACAACTACAATCTATTCATCCCACATTCTTAGCTACTTATTATACCTCCTCAAGCACCTTCTGCTCAGCTTCTACTTCTGCCGCATCCCTGAATAGATTCACAAAGTTCACATATTAAACAAAAGTGCAATAGGTAATACAGCAATTATAACACCAAGCATAATTTACAATCCCAAAATTAAGAAAAAGATATTGGTACAGCTGAACAAGAAGTCCATAAAAGGAAGGTAAGATGAAAACCTTCCAACAAGCTGACCCACGCGACTACAACACTTAGCCATTGGCGGACCTGGCCTTGTGCATGGTGAGTCAAATGACTCACCAGGGCCCAAAAAAAATTTCTAAGTTTTTTTTTAAAAAAAATAAAAATAAAAAATTATTTTCTCTGGTTGATTTTGTTGTTTTTTGTTTGGTAAACTTTGAACCTTTTGTTAATGTTGTTGGGTTTTTGATGAAATTTGAACCTTTTTTACCATGTGAATTGTAGTAAGTGTTTATTTAGGATGTTTATTGATGTCAATTATGTCTGTCAAATTGTCAATACACCATTGGCTTTGGTAGATTTATATGGGGTTTTGCATATGTGCTGATTTGATTGGAAATTCGGACGATTGCTTATGATATAGTCGACCCACCCTAATGATATAGCCAATTATGTCTGTCAAATTGTCAATACACGCTAATGCTTGTACATATTTTAATCTTGTCAATTATTAGATAGCTAAGCTTGTCATGTTGTCAAATTTTTTTTTACATATTTGGTTATCGATTGTGACTCACCAGTCGGAAATTCCTAGGTCCGCCACTGTTGATGTTGCTTCTACCTCTACAAAGGCTAAAAGGAAGCAAGATGATGTTGCTTCTACTTCTGTAAAATGAAAAGGGAAAGCACCTGCTGCTGCTTCTGCTTCTGCAAAGGTTAAGGGAAACCTACCTGCTGCTGCTGCCTCTGCAAAGGATAAAGGAAAAGCAACCCATGTCTTATTCACAGCCTGCTCCAAAAATGAGGAAGCTTAATGGAATTAGGTTCTCAACCCAGACTCAATAGATGATTGTGTTGGTTGTAATTAGCATAAGTAAATAGCACTAGCAACTGATTTTTTTAGGTAATTTAATCACTTTGTTTTGGGTATTTGGGGGAACAGGTTATCTTATGGAAAAACTTGTTTTTTGGGATATCATTTTGGCTTATGAAAAAGTGCTTAAGTTTTAATCATCAAGTATTGTCAATGTTCTTTAATGTTTATATTGTGTCCAGCCATGTTTTATTGTTCATTGATACACTAGAATAACAGAGCAACAAAACAAAATAATTTGAATTTAAACAACCTTCTGATTTTTATTTAATATATAAGGATGATCAGTACATCATTCAACTAGCTAGATTGTTAAGGACTAAGTACAAACATCCCAATTCCCCTTACATGAATCCCTAATTTCAACTAATAATTTCTCCCAAATTATCATTCTAGGGTTTACAAATTCATTCACTTAATTAAAGTACAGAAAAACCAAATTAAAAACATCCCAATTGCAATCTTCATCATCTTCTTGCCAAAGCCATCGAAATAACCTTCATCATTGACCTCATCAACAATCCTCACAATATTTTCTTCAGGAACTCATGCAAAAAAGTGACAGGTACTGCATTTGTAGTAGGGCCTGTCTGGATTGGAGTGTGTATCAGAAAAACGCACATCCAGAAATCGCTTAAATGAATTGTGGCTGTAGTGAAGCTTGATTGCTCGAGCTCTTCCTATGGTGGCTGCGTAAAAAGAGACGAGGAAGAAGACAACAATGGAGGAAGTTGGGGGAATTAGGGGAGAAAGGGTTTTTATAAGCTGTTATCTGACTTTTGGGGGGGAAAAGTTAACCATGGTTAACTTTATTAATGATGTTTATGTTAAAACACCATCACTAATGTCATCATTAGGAGAAAAAAAGAATTAGGGTCATTTCGTATAATCCAAAATAAAGGGGGTCACCATTGGTGCGTAGCAAAAGTTTGAGGTCACCGTTGAGAATTTCCCAATAATAATAATAATAATAATCACATACCACTTCAAGGGCTTTTTATCTATAAATTAGTTTTTAACCCGACCAATGCCCCAGATCATGGTAAATATATTTAAACTAAATTTTTATGTAAAATTAGGTGAATTATAAATAAAGATTAGTTACATTTAATTTTTAAGATAATCTTTCTTATAAAATTAAAGTACTTGTACTATTTATTTATTTATTTCAAACATAATTGAACATCAAAATTCATTATCTAATATTGAGTATCCTAAAAATTATTAGTTTATTTCGTTCTTCAATTGTTACAAGAAATTCATTTAAGTTGACATATTTGTGGAAAAAAAATTAGAATAAAAAGTGCAACATATTTTTGGGTTACGTACATATTTTAAATATCTACTTTAATTTAGGGTTGTATGTATGAACAAATGAAATAGATGAGATCAATTTTGTTATTATAGATTGTTGTCAAATATACGTGTATAAAAACTATATATATTATTAAATTCCGAAATTTATGAATATGACACTATTTAATAAATCATTGTTGACATAAAATGTGTCATTAGAGTGGTGCTAAAAGCTTAAATGTATTATAATGAACGTAAGGTCATGAGTTCAAACATCAATGCTAACAAATTTTTGTTTGAGGAAATAATAGTGATCATTAATGGTCTGATATGACATGGCATAATTACATGTGTTTGGCAACACATGGCATTGACTAGATTAAATCCCGTGCAATGCATGGTTGTTAATTAATACGGAGTAACTATAATGACAATAATTTTTTTTCTTTTTTTTTAAAAAAAATTGATATAATATATTATGAAAAGACTCCGTATTATTAAAAAGTATGAAATACAAAGTACATGTTATAATGGACAATTTGATATTTAAGGAAATTTATTTTAAATTTTGTATAAAGTAAAAGTTATAATTTAGTTACAAACCTTATTTTTTTGTAACAATAAGTTTTTTTTAGTAAATAATTTTTGCGGGAAAAACTTTTTATATTATGTTGTCAAGTGTCTTGCTAAGTTTTGTCTTTAGTATAATGTATTATGTAATTGATTAATTGACTAATAAACCTTACCTTTGTGTTAATTATGCTAGTTTCAATGAATGCCGGTTTGATTGTGTTCAAAGCGTGGCCATAGGCTAATAATGGTATCAAGTTTTAGTTTTTTTTTTTTTTTTTTTTTTTTTTTTGAAAAGTGTCTTAGTTTCATAACAAAAAAAAAAAAAAAAAGGTATGCATCCATAATTAATCATATACCTATAATTAAGATCAAAGAATTACTAAAATATTGATTTTGAACGAACATTATATATATATAGTTTATATATATAGGGTTGGGATCCGGTGAGAACATGCCTTTATATGCGAACACAATCTTATATGAGAATAAATCACTACCGTTGATCTAATAGCTGAGATTAATCAAATAAACCCTCCTCCACAAAAAAAGCCCACACATATTTCACTCTCTAAGATTGAATAATACCCAGCTTATCTATCTCTCCACAAGCTTTGAAGGTCCATCAATGGCGTCTAGTCAGAAAATTCAAAGGCTAACAATTTCTCTCTCCTCTTGTTCACAGGTACATAATTTCCATCAGTAGTTTTCGAATTTCTTACTCTTAATTTGGTTTTTGGATTGAGATTAATCATAATTGATTGTTCATAATTTCCATCAGTAGTCTCTCTCATCTCAAATTCCATATTCATCTTCAATTTTGATTATTTTCAAATTTTCATTGAATTTATAGATTTATTTCGTTGTCAAGTCATGATTTCAATTTCTATCAAACCATTAAATTATAAAAATCAACGGGGAAACAAAATGAAAACAATTAAAACCTCTGAATAACATATTATTGGTGGAATCGATTGAAATCCAGATGTTCTTCAAATTACAAGTCAACAACAATCTAATTGAGTTATTATACTCTTCATTTATTAATTGTTATTTTTTCATAAATGATTTTTTCAAATTTCTTTGAACTTCAACTGTAAAGATAGAATTATGTTGATGCTCAATTAATGATATACTTCATATTATTTTTAGGTCAATGTAAGAGTGGAACAAAGCAAAAATCAGTGAAGCCCTGTATAACCATAATTTTTTAGGTCTATGATTTACTTTTCAAATCAATGTATTTCCTAACAATTTCTTTTGAAAATTAACTTTATCAAGTGAAACCTATAATGTAATTGAATGATGCGTATCTGATTATTTGTGTGATGCTTGTTATCTGGTAGCTGAATACTTAGCTTGCAAGATGTTGTCAAGAGTAGTATAGTGTAAGGATATGTAGGAGTGGCCCAACGAGCAAGGATCATGAAACTAGTATGTAGAATTTGTGTGGGGACTTAGCAATCTAATGAGCTGAGGTTGATTGAGAATAGCAATTGAGTTCTTTGTGCTCATCTTCTGTAAGTAAGCTTTCAATTGTTTCCTTACAATTAGCGATATAACTATTGACAAATATTTCTCATAAAACTAACCTACTAGCTCAATTGGTAGAGCATTGTGCAAATGCACAAAAAAAGTGGGTTCGAATCCCACATAGGTTTATTAATTTGTTCATGTGTACCTACTAGCCAAAATGAGTAATATTAATTATTTTGCTTATTTATGCAATGAGCAATATTATTTTGTTCATTTGTATAATGAGCAATATACATTTTCTCATCAACCATATGAGAAAAATATACATGCTCATTTAAACAAATGAGCAAAAATGTGCCTAGTGTAGTAAATGCGCAAATATATGCAACCTATTTGTGTCAACTAGCTAAAATGAGCAATATTATTTTGCGCATTTGTGCAATGAGCAATATTGTATTGTGTGAGTCACAATTTAAAGAGGACAAACAACTCAGTATCAAGGAATATTACTTGAAGATTTCAATCCATATGACCTAAAATATGTGAACATATACTAACCCGGAGTTCAAACCCTAAGCCTCTTATAATCCTTTCATTTGTTCAATATATATGATACCCCATCATGTAATGTAGCTATCATGCACTGTAGCTATCCTACAACCACTTGGTACAAAGAATCCAAACCCAACTCAACTAAAAAAAATGTAAAAGACATATTTATAACTCCTATGGGGGACAGAATTGCAAGCTTTATGCAGACGATGATACATAGTTCTAATATAAATCATGATGAGAAGTCCAAAATCACACCTCATATATGCTGAAGCTATATACTGTGTATAACAAGAAGACAGAACCATTAAACACATACTTGATGCTCACCATTAAGCTGAACCACCTTGAATGAATGCTATTCAGGATCTTAGGGATATTCACCCCACAAAGACAGAACTCTGTAGCCTTGTCTTCAGCTATGTCTTCGGGATATTTCTCTTGCAAGCATCCTAGAAAATCCCATTTTAAGAAAAGGGTAATCATAACTTAAATGAAATGAATGTGTTAACTTCCTATTATGTAACAAGGGTGATGATGTTCATTCAATTGGGTACAATTATACATGTTTTAAACTAGTAGCCTATGTAGGATTTGAACCTCATCTTCAGTGCAATGTAGAAACACAGTGCTAGACCAATTGAGCTAATAAGCTTACAATTTAAACTAGTAAATACTTGGATATAAACTTTGATCCAAGCAGAAGCAATACTAGTCTCATTATCTGATGAGATTTTAAACATTTCTTATTCAAGGTTGTTTCGGGGTTTTTTTTTATGTGTCCTGCGGGAGAGTTACCACACCAGAACTGGTAGCCGACCACTTGTACCTGTAAAAGCACGGAGACTCCGGTTGGTTGGTGTTCCGCCTCCGACGATCAAGTTAGAGTATGTCTGAGTGAGTAAGAATACGGAAAGTGAATTATCTCTCGAATTCCGGGAGATTCTGCAATTATTATTGCTCGGTAGTTGTATTTGTATTTATAATTGTACATGAATGTGCAATAAATGAGGACTTTCCTCTATTTATAGTAGAAGGAGATTAGTTCCCCTATTAGGGTTACGGGGCCACATGTCAGCAGGAGAGTGGATCCCATTGGGCCTCTATGGGGGGGGGGGGGCTGACACGTGTTAGCACCATATTGGGCCACGTGGCATGGGTAATTTTACCCCAAACATTTTCCCCTCACAGGTGTGACGTGGCTTGCCACGTGGCACCTGTGACACGTGTCAAGCTCTGGGAAGGTGACGGTTCGTCTCCTTCCCTCTATTTTTTTTAATTCAAATTTGAAAAAAGGAGGCGATGGTTCACCTTTTGAGTTTCCTTATAAATAGGAACCCCCATCCTCTCATTCCACACTGTTGCAAATTTTAAGAGAATTTTCTTCAGAGAAAAATAGAGCTCGGATCCCGGCTGTCGTTACTTATACAATCGTCTGTCTTCTCCCTACTCATCCGGTTTTTCGTCTGAGATAGCCAGTTAGCACCACTTGAGGGGTTTGCAAGCAATCACCATCATTTCCAAAGGCACACACGGATTTACCGTTTGTGCTCTAACACTTGCTCTTCTTAGAGGGTACATACAGTCGGTCAACCGCCTGTACCTCTAGCAAGCCATCCATTGAATTCCTCTTGCTTCATCAGCCGGTCAACTCTCTTTAACCTTTCAGCTTACTTTGAGGTACCGTCTCTACCCCTTCAGCTCTTTCATGCATTTGTGTTTCTCTTTTTTCTTTCTTTGGCTTTAAAATTAAATGGACTCGCCAACCACACACCCGGCACACCACGATTTAGAGCTCAGCCGGTCCCCTGATACGGCTGAGTCTAAGACTGGGGAAGTCACCTCTGGGTACTGGGATTCACCTTGTTCATCTTCTAATCCGACCGTCTCTGTCTCTGTGCAGGACACAATGGCTCGTGCTAGAAAAATAGTTGTAGATCCGGAGTATAGAGGAGAGAGCTCCGAAGAGCTGCCGCCTCAAACAAACCAGACTGAGATGACAAGGGAATCCCCAAGAGGTACCCCAAGCACCCCCAGTGATGGAATCCTGGCCTGGGGTCCGATAATGGAGGCGGTGAAGATGCCACCTCTATCTCTGGAGTTGAGGAAGAGAAAAAATCCTCTGGAGATGAGAGTAGCGGAGAAACCGCCTCTACATCAGGCTCTGAAGGCAGTAGCAGTAGCTATCTTATACCGGTTGTAGATAGCGAGGAGGAAGAGAGACCCACTTGGAATAATAGGGGTGATCCTCTCCTCATCACTGTCTCAGCTAAGGACCGGGCTAGCATGGAGAGGAACTTAGGGAATTTTGTCCTCATGTGGCCTCAGTACCGCCTGAGATGGGAAAAATTGCCTGGGAAGATAACCAGTGCAATGCAAACGGGTAATTTGGCTGCTATGAGGCGACCTTTCTAGCCGATCTCCGCTTCCCTCTTCATGATACCACTAAGGCCATCCTAAGAGGATACGGTCTAGGCATATGGCAGTTAACCCCCAATTCTTGGGTTAACATTTTGTGCTATATTGCCGCCTGCGAGATGCAGGGCCTAAACGCCGGCTGGGAGGCCTTCGCCCACATGCACTATTTAAGCCAAACTCAGGCTGGTGGAGAGCTTGGTATACTCTTACCACTTATCCCCAGTACTTGATGACGTTAGATAAACCGTCTAAGTGGTCAGACTGGAAGAGCCAGTTTTATCTGGTTCCAGCTCCCACCAAAGAGGAGAACCGCGAGTTCAGGACTTACAACCGGAAGCCTGAGCTCCTTGGGCAAAAATGTAAGATGCCCCGAGTCCCGGATGAGGACTATGAAAGGATAATAGGGACGGGGTTCTTTGAACTCACCACAACCGCCCTCTCAACCGATGAACTAATAAGCGTGCCCAAGAATTGGGTACCCAAACATGAGTTCTTGCGAGATGAGGCGTTCTTATCCAGCACCTAGTTTAAAAAATGTAGGTTGCATGAGCACCTGGCCCTATTATACCGCCTTAGCTATTTTATGCTTTTGAAATTTTTATTATCTTTGTCTAATCAGACGGTTTCTTTTCTGCAGTAAACGCTTTAACAATGTTGCCTCCACACAAGACGCCCGCAAAATCAGCCGCCGAAATCCGCAAGGGGAATGTGGAGAAGAAAAAAGTTGCCCAGGCAGCAAAAAAACAAGGTACATGCGTCTGCCCCCTAGTTCTTACGTATTTTTTGAAGTATATACCGGCTAACCAATATACTTGTCTTTTTGACTTAGGAGGGGAGCAAGGCGCCTCGCTTTCTGACCAGGTTGATCCAGCCCCGGCCGGGAGAGGAGGGAGCCATTTCAAACAAGTCCGGAAAAAACTCCTCTCAGGGGGTTCCCAGTCGTCTGACGGTTGGGGGAAAAACCCCTTTGCTTGGCAAGCCCATGCGGGTCAAGTCATACTCCCAGCTCCAGCCAGAAGACTCTTCTGGCAGCCAGCAGTCAATAGAAGGGACGTATGTAGCTTTCTCACCGTCTCTTTCTGGTGCAGATCTCTCCCCTCGCTGGCCGGATGTACAACAATACGCCAGGGCCATGCTGAAGGCCATTCCAAAAGAAGAGAAGGAGGCGATCCCAGAGATCAACACCTTCAATGCTGACCGGGTCATGGTCAGCCTGGCTGAGGTATGTTCCTCCAACTGAATATTTCAAAGGTATTAAACTGTTTGACCTTCTAACGTCGGCTGTGCTATTGCAGTCCATGCTACGCATGGAAGGGCTGAAGAGGGCCTACACCAGGAAGCAGGACGAGACGCGTTTGAGGCCCATAACGTTGCTCAATATTCCATGATTGTGCATGACTTAGAAACTAAAAGCATAATCATGCAACAGGCAGACTCCATCAAAAAGCTTCAAAAATCCCTCGATGAAGCCTGGACAAAAATTCATAACCTCCAGGCGGATAAAGAGAATGTTGAAGAGGAAGTGAAGAAGGCGGCGGGGTCCCTCAAACTCTTTGAGGCGACCAAAAAGGAGAACTCCTTGCTGTTGACTGAGAACTGCCACCTAAAGAAGGATACAGCTTCCGCCAGTCAGAACTTCCAAGCCACCTTGGAAGCTGAACAAAGCCGGCTCATCGAGGAGAATGAGCAAGACTGTGAAAACCGCATACAAATGGCTTGGTCCCAGGTACATTCGGATGCGGAATATGTCGTCTGGGAACTAGCCTACAAATACGCAGATCTTGCCATTTAAGCCAAGGAAACGAACCAGCCGGCCCCGGAGCCTTATGAAGTATGGGCCAGAAAAGAGATTGAGGCCATGCATGCGGATATGGGTGCAGACGGGGAGGAAGATGCCCGAGCTGAAAATGAAGAGGTCCGGGCTGAAGAGACCCCTTGCCCCTTCTGCTCCTGAAGTCGCCGCCAGAGATTCGGCTCAATCCTAAGCTTTGTTGATTTAACTCTCCGGCCTGCGTGTCGTGCATTTGAATGTATCTTTTTTTATCTCTTTCTTTCCCGGACATGGGTCCTATTAACAATTTCTTTTGGCTATAAGCCAATTTATACATTTGCCGACTGAGTCGGCTTTATTTCTATAATGTTTCAATTTCAATTTTTGCCGCTTTGCTTCAATTTTTTGTAGCTTCAGTTTTCGCATTTCTGGTTTGTATGCAATATCCCGGATGTATGAGCTTCCTTTCCCCTGGACGGTTGTGTGCGTGGTAGCTACCCTACGCTAAGCACGTAGCTGTCCAAACGAGCATTCGGAGAATAAGCAGGCAGTCCCTTAACCATTTTGAGAGTTGATGAATTGGCTAAGTAGGGATAGCAGATGGTACTTGCTTATGTCCATCGCTTATCTGATTGTTTGTTACCCTTCGGGTAATCATTCTTAAGCGCTCGATTGGAAACAAGCGGCCTTTGGCCGGCTGTAATACCTTTGAGTGAGGACCATAAATACCGATTGTGCCACTTTGGGGCAACATGCGGTTGTGTCAATAACCGGTTGAGTGCCTTTGAGCGGCCGCTTGCGCTACTTTGGAGCGTCATGCGACTGCATCTCAACCTTCACTTTCTTCTTAACTGGTTGGCGAGAGACCGGTTGTGATGCTTTTGAGTAAAAGTCGTGTATCTCTGATCGAGATTCCGGGAACCGTCTATGTCACTTGGGAACAACATGAGGTATCTCGATTTCAATTCCATATTCAAGCGACAGTTTTAACCTGGAAAGTTAGTTTTTAGCCGCTTGTACGTTTTGATAGAACAATGTACCACCCAAATGGGAGATGTTCTCTTCGACGATTTCACCCAAAGAGGCGTCGCCGGATGCCTGCTCATGTTGAAGCAGGCGGTTGGTTTAAGATAAAATCTGGCCTTTGGCCTCAAAATTTGTCCGGTCGTGCATTACACAAACAAGACTACAATATACAATAATTACGAAAATCTGGCCTTTGGCCTCAAAATTTGCCCGGTTGTGTAGTACACAAACGGGGCTTTGTACAGAACAGAAATTAATAAAGCACTTTTTCATTAATACTTTATTTACAAAAAATTACAAATCTCATAAGTAGTATTTTTTCAAGTTATCTACATTCCAAGTTCTGGCTAGCTGTCTGCCGTCTGGAGTTTCCAGGCAATAGGTGTCGCCTCTAACTTCTTCAAAAATCCGGTAGGGACCTTCCCAATTTGGAGTTAGCTTCCTTTGCTCATTGGCCCTGCCGGTTGCCTCCATTTTTCGTAGCACAAAGTTCCCCACTTTCAGAGGTCGTTTGTGCACTCTTTTGTTGTAGGCTCTAGTCATTCTCGGGCAGTATATTTCATGACGCAAAGAGACATTGCCCCTACGCTCCGGGAGTGAATCCAATGCCAAATGCATGGCCTCCCAATTTGCCTCTTCATCATAAAGCATGATGCGGAGTGTTGGCTCATGAAGTTCAATAGGCAGGACGGCCTCAGTGCCGTATGTCATGAGGAACGGGGTTTCACCAGTTGCCCCTTTTTCAGTTGTTTTGATGGCCCACAGGACGTGAGGTAACTCATCCGCCCAAAGGGCGCCAGCCCTTTCAGTTTTCTTTTTTATACCGTCTGAGATCATTTTGTTGAAAGCTTCAACTTGACCGTTTGCTTGGGGACGGCCGACCGATGCGAAACAATGTGAGATCCCTTGATCTCCCAACCAGTTCTTGAGGGTAGGCGTCTCAAACTGAGGGCCATTGTCAAAAACCATAGACATAGGATCCCCAAACCGGGTGATGATGTTTCTCCAAATGAAGGAGATAACGTCCTTTGTCTTAATGCCTTTGACTGCCTTTACCTCTACCCATTTGGTGAAGTAATCTACAACCACCAGAATGTACCTCCGCTCGCCTGTAGTAGGGACCTAAGATGTCCATGCCCCACTTTGCAAATGGAACCGGGTTGTAAATAGCCGTCAGGTCAGTAGCCGAACGCGGTGTATGAGCCAGCCAAATCTTTGGCACTTGTCACACTTCTTCACCATTTCCATGGTGTCTGCCTCAAGGGTAGGCCAGAAGTATCCCTGCCGCCTGGCCCTCTTTGCTAGAGTTCTGCCGACTATATGTGAAGCATAAAAACCCGCGTGCAGATCCTCTAGCACCTCTTTCCCCTTCTTTGGGGTTACACAGTTCAACCATGGCTAGAGGTAACCCTTCCTGAAGAGTTCTCCTCGATGGATCTCAAAACTTGAGACCCACTTCTTCAAGGCAGCCGCTTCTGAAGGGGCATTCGGTAGGATGCCGTTTGCCAAATAAGCCCGGATGGCATCCATCCAGGTTGAGCTTCGGTCAAGAACTCCAATGGGATCATTCTCAATGCTCCTCTTTTCCATGACTTCCCAGGAGATAGACCGAGGCGCATCACAGGAGGCGGATGATGCCAATTTTGATAGAGCATCCGCCTGGTTGTTTTCTGACGTGGACACTTGACTCAAGTTAAATTCGTCAAGTGTCCCGACCTCATTTTTGACCGCCTGAAGGTATTTGATCATTGCCGGATGGGTGGCCTCATAGTCACCATGGTATTGGCTGACGATCAACTGAGAATCTGAACAGGCATCAACTTTCCTTGCCTCTGCTGCCTTACACATGCGAATTCCGGCTAGCAGGGCCTCATACTCCGCCTCATTGTTTGAGGCTTGAAACTTGAACCGTAGTGCATATTCATATGTATCCCCTTCCGAAGACTTGCGAATTACGCCTGCACCACAACCGTTCATAGTAGAGCTCCCGTCTACATATACCTTCCAAACCTGATCAAATGTTTTTCGGCTGATCCAGCCTGGTCATTTCAACAATGAAGTCAGCAAACGCTTGACCCTTCACTGCTTTTCTCGGTTCGAAGATTATTTCCAAGTTTTGCATCTCAATAGCCCATTTGAGTATTCTACCGGATGACTCTAGGGTTGTCATTGGGTGCTTGAGGGGGTTGGTCTGTGTAGACTACAACCGGATATGCCAAAAAGTATGGTTTCAACTTCTTTATGGCCATAAAAAGGGCAAGGCCGAATTTTTCAACCAAGGGGTACCGTAGTTCAGCATTTCTAAGCGCATGGCTAATGAAGTACACTAGGAGCTGATTGTCATCTCTTTCAACTAAGAGAACGACACTGAGGACATGATCTGAGACGGCCAAATACATGTAGAGAACCTCCCCAGCTAAAGGACTGACCAGCCAAGGTAAGGAGTGAAGGTGCTCTTTCAGCTTTCGGAATGCCTCCTTAGCATTTCCCCCCCCCCCCCATTAAAATCTTGTCTTCTTTTTGATTTCTTAGAAGAAGTAGAGGCATTTGTCACCTGACCGGCTGAGGAATCTCCCCAACGCCGCCAGGCAACCAGTTAATTTTTGTACTTCCTTGACAATGCGGGGTGACTTCATGTCGATAACCACCTGTACTTTTTTCGGATTAGCCTCTATTCCCCTTTTATCAATCAAAAATCCGAGATGCACTTCTTGGGATTAAGCATGTCCTTATGCCGCCTGAGGGTGGTGAAGGTTTCTCGGAGGTCAGCAAGGTGATCCGTCTGCTGCTTAGATTTGACTATCATGTCATCAATGTACGCCTCTACGTTCTTTCCAATTTGATTAATGAAGACGGTATTAATCATATGCTGGAAGGTAGCAGGCGCATTCTTTAACCCAAACGCAATCACCGTATAACAGAATAGCCCTTGATCAGTGACGAATGTCGTCTTTTCTTTATCTTTTTTCCACAAGGGTATTTGATGGAAGCCTGAATAGGCGTCCATGAAGCTCATCAAATCATGACCGGCTGTAGAGTCAACCAGACTGTCGATCTTTGGAAGTGGATAACTATCCTTCGGACATGCCTAGTTCATATTTGTGTAGGCAACTCACATCTGCGAGGTACCATTCGGCTTCTTTACCAGAACGACATTGGCTACCCAATCCGGGTAGTAGCATTGTCGAATGAACCAAGCATCTATCAGCTTCTTGACCTCGGCGGCAGCCGCCTGAGACCTTTCCTCGCTGTGATTTATTTTCTTCTGCCTAACCGGCTTCTTTTTAGGGTCCACGACAAGTTTGTGAACAGCAAGATCCGGGCTTACGCCTGGCATCTCTTCCACTTCAAAGGCAAAGATGTCTTTGAATTCTTTCAATAGCTAGTGCAAGTGTGCACCCAACGTTGCAAAAGCTACCGTCCCCAACTTCACAGTTCGCTCTGGCCGGCTGTCTTCCAGAACGATATTAATGCTATCACCAGCCGGCTGGGGACGAAGATCATCTGACCGTTCCCCGACCAGTGATTGCTAATGTTTTTCTTTTTTAACGGCCACCAAGTGATCCGTCTTTCTCTTTTTGCCGGCTTCTTTGGGAGCAAACGCGGCTTCTTGACATTCATTAAGATCGATAAACCTCCCACTTTGGCCGGCTGCAACCACAGTGGGTTTGACGTCTGAGAGATAACACTATCTCGCCGCCTTCTGGTCCCCATTCAGGGAGCCTACCGACCCATCATCCCTCTCGAATTTCAGCAACATGAGAGACTGGATGATGACTGCTTTGGACTCGTTGAGGGTTCCCAGGATCAGGTTGTAGGCGGTTAATTCTTCGACCACCAACAATTTGACGACCATGTGTCGTCCTTCCCCCTTCTCACCGAGCCGGATGGGTAGGTCAATCCTTCCCACCGGATGCACTACTCCTCCC